TCGAACCATCTAATCTTTTGAACTCCTATTAAAATGATGTCTATAGTTCCAAGGTATTTCCCGAAAGGTATTGAACAGCGCGATGCCGCCACCGAAATCTACAAACGAGGCTCAACCCCGTCCTCGTCCTACAGCTGCTAAAGAATTTCCCGTGAAAAGTACCACCTCTGTATCATTGACTCAGCTCTCTTGCCATACTGAAGTTGAACCTCTGAAGCTTGATGCGGCTCTGAAGTCGGCGTCTACTGCGTCTGCTGCAAGAAATCCTATGCATCCTATCATCGCAATCTTGTCTGATGAGGTTGGCATTCCCTCGGCCAGTGTCCAAGATGACTTTGTCTTTGCAGACAATGGAGTTGATTCGCTTTTGTCCCTGAAAATCGCTGGAAGACTGCGCGAAGAACTTGGTCTGGAGCTTGAATCGACGGTATTCGAAACCTGCGCAACGGTTGCTGATCTTGTTGCCCACCTTGGCTACAGCACTTTCTCACCTGAACAGTCTACTGAACAGTCTAGTGAGACTGGAGGCCTTTCTTCAAGTAGCGAGGCTTTCACGACTTTGACCAGCAGCGCGACTACGCCGCTGCCAGAATCTGTCTCTTCTAGCCTGTTGAAAGACGTGTGCGCTATTCTGGCAGACGAGATTGGTGTTTCCACGAGCGAGATTATGAATGACGTTAATCTTGGTGAACTGGGCATGGATTCACTCATGTCGCTGACCGTGCTTGGCCGTCTTCGCGAGGAGCTAGAACTTGAGCTTGACGACGATTTCTTCGTTTCTTATCCCGACTTTAGCTCTTTCAAGCACATGTTCCAGTCAGCCACTCCACAGGAATCTGAGCCAGACATGTCCGAAGAGCTGCACAAATATCGGGCATCATCCATTCTCCTTCAAGGCAGTCCCAAGACTGCGCTCTATACGCTGTTCCTTCTCCCAGACGGTTCCGGCGCTGCAGTTTCATACGGGCCAATTGACGCTGTTGGAAAAGACGTTTGTGTATATGGGCTTAATTGCCCCTGGCTCAAAACTGCTGACAAGCTGGTGCGGTTTGGTCTCAAGGGTCTGGCTACACTCTACGCTGAAGAGATTAAACGAAGGGTGCCACAAGGACCTTATAACCTGGGCGGGTGGTCCGCAGGAGGCATCTGTGCTTATGAAGCAGCGATTCAAATGACACGGCAAGGAGAAACTATTGATCGTCTCATTTTCCTCGACTCTCCCAATCCAATCGGTCTGGAGAAGCTACCTGCACGACTGTTTGACTTTATCAATGGCCTGGGCCTCTTCGGAGATGGCAAAGCACCCGATTGGCTATTGGCGCACTTCCTCGCATTTATCGATGCGCTCGACGAGTGGAAGCCAGTGCCCTGGGATGAAGCTTTGAACAATAAGGCGCCAGCACCGCGTTCATTCATCCTATGGGCTGAAGATGGTGTGTGCAAGGGCACTGATGAACGCCCAGAATACAGAGATGATGACCCGCGTGAAATGCGGTGGCTGCTTGAGAATCGAACTAACTTTGGCGGCAATAACTGGGACGTTTTGCTCGGCGAGAAAAATCTTTCCATTTCACGCATAAAGGATGCGAATCATTTTACAATGTTACACAAGGGCAAGAACACGGAGCGAGTTGCGGCTTTTATCAAGAGTGCATTCGCATAGAAGGCGGTCATTTGTAATACACGGATATAAGTAGAGTGCGGCGGTTTTCTATGTACGATTCATTCTTAAATCTAGCTTAATTCTTAATACTGATTTTATTTTGATTAATGTACGATGTAAGTTATGCGCTTCAAGTCTCTTCAATCCACTTCCATATAGTATTTCATCCAGAAGCCGTCTCATATTGTTTGTCGCACACTTCAAATACTTGACTATGCTATTATAGTTGGCATGTTTCTTAACACCTTTAAAGCGTGAATAATACTTTCCGTTATCGGCCTTGAAGTCAACTTCGATTGGTTTTCTTACGTGTGTTGTTTGGTGGGGCTTGAGTTGTGGGCTTTCGTTAGCTAGCTGAAGCAATTCGTTTTAGTGGCCAATCCTGGAACTAATCTGGAGAATGAACTAACCTGTTGCTAATTGGCCTGTCATTCCGCCCTGGAATGCCGACGCATAGCGATCCTCAGAATACCTACCTATCTGTTGCTTTGTATGTAACGAAAACCTGGAAGCTTTTGCATATAAGAGAGTGTGCCGAGCGAGGCCAAACACTTAAGTAGGACAAGCTACGAAGAGTATACGATTGATCCGAACCCAAAGAAACTCGGGGGTTCTACATTGCTCTATTCAGACTGTTGCGGCGTCGTGTATTCGTTTATAGGTATTTGGAATACATCATGCGGAACACAACGGCATTAGTATGTACGATTAACACTGCACATCCGCGCGCCCTTTTCCCCGCGTTGTACTCACGCGACAGCCACTGTGGATCTTTACCGAGGCGAGGGGTTAGGCTGATATATATAGACCCTCAATAGCGTATAATCGTATATGCATGGTCGACTTCCAGATGCAGCCACCCATCACAATCTGAAGAATTTAATAGCCGCATCGTCTGAGTTTTGCAACTTCTTTTTTTCTTTCTTCTCCTTGTTTACTTCACCATATCTTTTCTTTTTTTCCCCCTCCAATCATGGCTCCTGTAAAGCTTGCACACTACCTCTTCACTAGGTTACGCCAACTCGGCGTCGAGTCTGTCCATGGCGTTCCTGGAGACTTCAACCTGACGATGCTGGACCATGTGGAGCCCGCAGGCCTCAACTGGGTTGGCAACGCCAACGAGCTCAATGCTGCATATGCCGCCGATGGATACTCCAGGATAAAAGGACTTGGTGCCATTGTGACAACCTTTGGCGTTGGAGAGCTATCAGCGATCAATGCCATCGCAGGCGCCTATGCTGAGTTTGCACCCGTTGTGCATATCGTGGGAATTCCGGCCCGACAGATCCAGGAGGAACGAATCAGGGTGCATCACACCTTGAACGATGGTGAATTTAAGCGATTTTCACAAATGCATGCACAAGTCACCGTCGCGCAGACTCGACTTTGGGATCCCTTGACTAGCGCCGACCAAGTCGATAATATCTTGATTCAGTGTCTCCTACACTGTCGACCGGTGTATCTGGAGCTTCCTGTCGATATGGTAGACGCTTTTGTTTCTGGAGACAGATTGCAAACGCCAATCGTGATCCCGGAGCCGCAGCCTACTCACAACTTGGACGACGTCATTCTCAAGATTATCAGCAAAATTGAAGCCGCTAAGCGGCCTGTCATTTATATGGATGGTGAGAGCAGGCCTCTTCGCATCGTGGAGGAGGTGCAGCAGTTCGTATCAATCACGAAGTGGCCAACTATAGCGTCCCCCTTTGGCAAAGGATTGCTAGACGAAACAGATCCCAACTTCATTGGTGTCTACCAAGGAAAGTTTGGAGCCAAAGCTGTGCACGATTTCGTGACAGAGACCGACTTGGCTCTCTGCTTTGGTCCTCACTACAGTGGCACCAATACTTACATGTGGAACAGCATTCCGCAGAGCAAAGAGACCATCGAGTTCACCATTTCTGGAGTCAAGATAGGTCCAGAGTTTTACCGGGACGTATCTCCCAAGCTGGTCCTTTCTCGCCTCCTCAAAAAGCTTAACATGTCAAAGATCACGGCGTATAGGTCAACGCCCGACTTACCCAGATATGAGCTTCTTGCACCATCATCAATCCCAGCGGACGATATTATCAAGCAAGATAAAGTATGGAAAGTCTTGGGCAATCTGATTCAGCCTGGCGATATTGTTATGGGTGAAACAGGCACACCTGGTTTCGGCGTTCGCGAGATGCCTATGCAAAAGCACTGCCGTGTATTCAGCCATGTCACTTGGTTATCTATCGGTTACATGCTTCCGGCCGCTCAGGGTGCTGCCCTTGCCCAGAAGGAGCTCATTGCTGCTTCGAAATGGCATAACATCAACGCAGCCAAGACGATTCTTTTTATTGGCGATGGCAGCTTCCAGATGACGGTTCAGGAGATGTCAACTATGATTAAGCACAATCTTGACGTAGTCATTGTGTTGATTAATAACGATGGTTACTCTATTGAGAGATTCATACACGGAAGAAAGCAAGGATACAATGACGTTGCAAGATGGCGCTACCTTGAAGCCCCAAGCTTTTTTGGTGCACCCAAAGACACATATACTGCTTCTGCCAAAACATGGTCTGAACTGAGTACTATCCTTGAGAGGTACAAGGCCGAAGATACCAAGGGATTGTCTATGTTTGAGGTGATTATGGAACGAGAGGACGCTCCTGTCGGACAACTGCAGAAAGTGTTGGAAATGCAGATTGAACGGGAGCTGAAGAATTGAATCTAAATAAAGAAAATACAAAAATATATTTTACGCTAAAGGCAGATATAATAGAGATTGTTGATCAAAACAACTACCCTAATAAAACCTCATCCTATGATATACGGGCACGCCTGGTAATTGGATATACAGTGCGAAGGCGTGCCAAAAGCATTAACCAAAATGTCAGTTTATTACATTGGTTTGAAGTTTCCATCGTATTTAGCTCTCAGGTTCGTTTGGGTAGCACCTGCTAGAGCCTCTGCTAGTCACTGTAAATAGGGCTCTGGCTGCGGCTATCGCTCTGCCACATGCATCTTGGCTTTCTCCGCACTACCAAGGTTTTCCACCCAAGCATTATTCATTATTCGAATCTCGAAAGCGTATCTAAACATGTATTTATTTATCAATAACATTCATGGCGCCTACAGCCATTGTTGCTCTTGAAGGGCCTACACGCTTGTTTCATCCGCGACGCCCTATGCGCTGACTAGTAAGTACATATTGTGGAGAAGATGTAGTCACGTAAATAGCCCAAATGCCAGACGACCGTCAGCCAAAAGAGAGGCGGTTTGTCCAAATTATTATCCATCCATAATTTGAGCTTGAGCAGTGAATATTGCAAGAGGCAAGACGTTGTAATTCGAACTCAAGCCCAAAATGTCACAGACAAACGAGATATGCCTTACGAGGTTAAGTGGCTCAGAACTGCCTTCTCCAGCCGACACAATCTACCCTGGGCCGATAGAAGAAGCAGCCAGAATCGAGGTTATCTCAATGCTGCCTGCAGTGGTGGAAAGGCCGGCCCATGCTTTATCAAAGCAGCGAACTATAACTGCTATTGCGACGCTTTCAACAGTGAGTTTCTTAAGTAGCCTAAGTACTGGCCTCTTAACCATTGGCCTTCCACGTATGGCAGTGGAGATTGGGTTGCCGGACTATCTGATTGCATGGTAAGAACAATACAGTCTCCGAGAATATCAAGTTTCGTTATGAGATATAAAGTATGGGCTAAGTTTGAACGCTCTGCTAACACTTTTCCAGGCCGTCATCTGTATATACGTAAGTCGTTCAGCCTTTCAGTGTACAGACTTCGAGCCCATAGATTAGAGTGCTGATGAATCCCAGGTTGGCGAGCGGATCTTGTTTAATCATCGCCGGGTCCATCGCAGACGTTGTTGGCAATCGTATTGTCAATACAATGGGCTGCTTCTTGGTCGGCTGCTTCATCATAGCATGCGCCGTTGCTAGAACTGGCATCGAGTTGATCATGTTCCGTGCCTTTCAAGGCATCGCTGTGTCACTTTGTCTCCCGACTTCTGTTGCCATTGTTGCTAGCATTACGACCAGCGGCCGCCAGCGAAATATTGGATTTTCTTGCTTGGGTTTTGTGCAGCCCATCGGTTTTTCTCTTGGCTTGGTCCTCGGCGGAGTGCTTCAGGATACAGCGGGGTGGAGAGTGGGATGGTATATATGCGGCGGCTTAACAATAGCTCTGTTCTTCATCAGCTTGTGGGCATTGCCGGTGGATGAAAAGATTGAAGGCACAGTCTTGTTGAGGCTGCGGAGAGACGTTGACTGGATTGGTGCAATCCTATCTTCCGCCTCTCTAGCACTCCTCTCTTATGTCCTTGGGTAAGACTCGTCCCTTCAAGATGTTTTGGCCAGCCCTAATGACCTTCTTAGGGTGATGTCGAGCGGAGTGCACAATATTGCAATCCCAGGAAATATCGCAGCGCTTACTGTGGGTGTACTGCTTATCCCATCATTTATACTTTGGCAGCGGCGGCAAGAAAAGCGGGAAAAGCCAACCCTGATTCCCAATTCGCTATGGAATAATAGAACATTCACCACCGTATGCCTCTTGGTTATTTTCTCTTACGCTGTTGTCAACGCCATGGAGTTTTTCTGCAGTCTGTTGTAAGTTTTCGCGTTCGGAGATGGAACATGTGGTCATTGAGTCTCTACTAATAGTTTGCAGCTTTCAAAACGTCCAGCAACTCTCTGCGCTTCAGGCATCCTTGCGTATCCTCCCGAGTCTCATCGTAGGGGCGCTAGTACAGGTTTCAACTGGTTTACTGATTCACAGAGTTCCTGCTTTTTACCTTCTCCTCGTATCCATGATACTGAGCGCCGGGGCACCGCTACTGATGGCGACCATAAGTATACACCAGCCGTATTGGTTCAATGCGTTCTTCGCCCAGCTGGTTTCTCCAGTCAGCGCAGATATACTCTTCACTGTCGGTTTACTTGTTGTGTCTGAGGTATTTCCAGCCCGCATGCAGGCATTAGCAGGAGCTGTTTTCAACACAGTTGCTCAATTCGGCACTTCAGTTGGTCTGACTATCATGGCCGTTATTGCAGCCTCCATCACAGACCGCTCTAAAATACATGACAAAAACTCCCCAGATGCACTCATGTCCGGGTATCGTGCGAGCTTCTGGGCTGCTTTTACCTGGATGGGTTTGGCGTGTGTGATTGGTGCCTGCGGGCTGCGGAAGATTGGAATGGTTGGGCTAAAAAGAGACTAATGCCGCCATCTATATTATCATATAACTTAAAATTGGCGTTAGTATGTATGAAGACAACTTTGACATTAAATATTGAACGTCGGCGGCCGAATGAGATCAGAAACTGTGATTTACGTTAGTAGCTGTGAGTAATTGATGAATTGTTCGGATAAAGGCATTCGTGCCACGAAAGCCATGCATCAAATTTCTCTACTATCAAGCACTAAGGTAGCATTTTCCATCGCTACCCCAACACGCCGCCTGCCCAGCCCAGGCCAGAAGTTTTCATTCCTTTGAGATCCCTTTTTATCATCCTCAAAGTATTGCTTCATGTCGAACGTCATCAAGCCTACAGCTTTTCCGCTGAAAGCTGGCGTAAAGGCACACCAAGATTTCGTGCCCGGGAGCTCACCCTGGCTCCCTCGACCCTCGGGGAGCGGTGGGTGAACACATTCAAGATCGATTCCGATGTGGCTGAGCCATTTACTCGAGAATGGGAATGATGGTATGAGCGGAATGCGTTTCATCGTTGCCTGGAAAAACGGCGTGGGGCTGACAGTTGCTTCGGTCTTATCATTGGAGGTGTCGTAAGGATACACTCGTACAGTCAGCGACTTGTCAGGCGCTTCTTCCCAGTCGAAACGAGCCAAATGCTTTGGAATATTCCAATCTAATATATGCTGATTAGGGATCTTTGTCATATTGGATTGTGTAATCATGGAGCCAGTTGCGTTATGCAGCCGTCAAATATGAAGACCAGGTACAGGTCAACTTACTAGTTCTGCCATTGAAACAGGTATGTTTCTGCGAGACGTATAATCGAGTGGCCTTATAAGAGTGGCCACTCGTACACTCATCGTTGGAATCTTGCTTGGTCCATTCGAATTTTCCTGGGATGATGACGAGCTCATCATACGGGCCAACTGGAGTTTCCTTGTACCTAATGACTTGGATTCCACCAACCCCTCCGACAGGACGGCTGCTCTCAAGATCAGCAAATTGAGATGATAACTCGAGCGGCGAGTAAGCAATATCAAATGGGAAATCTTGAGCTTGAGAAGCAGAGATCCAGAAGGGTGCCGTATAAACGTCCACTTTTAAAGTCCATGGCGGGGGCGCAATTATAATAGACTCGTCGTTGAGTTGTCGGGACATAGGCGGCCAAAGTTATACCAGGAGAATTGTACGCAAACATGTGCTACAAATATAGCACCAAGACTAATAACCTGGGAAATCGACCGTTTATCATGCTCTGTGGCGTTATAAGCATTGTGGCAGGAATGGGGTTTTCCCTCCAGCAGGCTGGCATGTAATATTTATGTTTCATTCCAAAGCTTGTAAATCTCACATCCTTGCTGGTTTTCTGAAGGATCATCTCTTGTGTGGTATTCTTCTATTATTAACTGCCTATTCTGGTCGAAAATCGGGGCTTAGGCCGTGTGTAACAATATCTTACTCTGTGCAACGCGGCTTTGATCGACACCAACTTACCTGATGTGCCTCTATGCGCTATTTGGAATCTCGCCAGGGCTTAGACAATCAAGTTGCCCCCTAAATAAAAACAATGTGAATGCCATCGCTATTCTATATCTAATTGAAACACTGATTCTGTGATATCGGTCGTTGTGATTGAGCTACCGTGTGCACTCTGGAAATACCAGCCCTAGGTTACGGCGTAGGAATTTTTTATTATCGTACTAGATCTATACATCCGGTTCATATTTGCTACGTGTGGGTTACCTTAGGCCACATGTTCTACGATTAGGCAAAAGGACTTGCCGCCAATGACGTTACATTCCAATGACGGGCTTAATATAAGCGACACGTGGGCTGCCCGTCTTTTTAATCCGTAACATCATTTGCTGAACTTTGTGCGTAAGGAAGAAGCATTTGCTGAATAGCATTTCAATACTGGATAGTCAAGCGCGTCGAATTTAAATGCATGCAGCTTTCACTTGATCTATTTCGACGATCTCGTTGCGTGGCCGTTCTATTATAGGGACGAGTACTTACGAGATGATCTTGGAGGACGACCCATCGCGATTTTATGTATCTCTGTAGCTGAGGGCATTTTTCGAAGAGAAGGATTCCGTTACTAATCATTTAGTATCTTAAATTGAAAGATAAATCAGAATATTAGGGTCAAAAACGTTTGTATCCGTCAAGCCCAACCAGCGCTATTTTTCATGTTTGCTTATCAAATGCTTCGACTTTGTTTACTGCTTGATCCGGTCAATATGGGGTAACATACTGGCCTACAGACAGTATCACATGCAAAAAGCCCAATAGTGCATTTGTTAACAGTCTGTTCTTTTGGTGCATGCCTATCTATCTATTCAACGCCTACCTATACGGCATCGCCTATCGGTACAAGTAGAAGTGGTACTACAACGACCGCATTGAGCAACCCTGCAATCCAAAACTTTTCTCCCAGCGAGTTGTAGCCCCGGGGATGACTTTCAGATGGAGAAAGACGAATTCCTGGTCTGTACTTGAATATTAGGGTATAAAATAACCCGCCTATGTTGCCGCTAGCTCCAACGATGCCTGCAACAACGCCGACGTTTTTTGGTCGCCAGTGGCCATATATCGAGTAACAGGCGCCATTGGCCGAGAAACCAGTGATTGCAATCACGACAATAAAGCCAATAACACCGCCTATGGTTGCACTATTTTTGTTTATGTAGACCCCCAAGCCAACCATGGCGATTCCCTGAGATGCAGCGGTGGCTAAGAGCCAGTACATTTTAGCACGTAGCCCAAACCGAGCGTAAAGCACGTCTGACATAATTCCACCGAGTGGCCGAGCAAACAAGTTCATTAGGCCGTAGGTGGATGCTGCATAGGCGGCATCCACGGATCCGAATGACTCGCTCGCAAATAGGGTATTGATCAAGCCGGGAAGCGCTGCGTCCATCGCTGTCTCAAGGCCAAATGTTAGCAGGTAGCATAGAGCACAAGACCATACACGAAGGTCGGAAAGGATCTCTAGTAATGTCGCAAAGGTCAGTGGTTCCGACTGCGCAGTATCCACATTGGTGACCGGCGACCGCTCACTGAAGCTCGTACCCACTGACTTGGAGTTCATTGAGCTTTGAGCGAGGGCCTTTTCGGGATCTCCCAACATATTTTGTTGTTGGACGCCGTCCTCGTCGATGATATGATCTTTCCTGGTGGGTGAGTCTTGGAGTTGGTGGCGCGCTGACCATTTCCCACCGGGGTGATCTCGACCAAACAGTAGAATCATGACAGCGGTAAGCAGTAGGCACGGGACAGGCACTGTGACAAAGCATAGACGCCACGAAATGTGAGGGCTGAAGCCAGCCTTAATATAGCGTTGGTATAGCCCGATCATCACAGCAACTGTCGCTCCACCGCCCAAGTTGCCCCAACCACCCGAGAAGGCATTAGCCGTGCCAACAATTGACTTGTCAAAGAATGTGGTGGTATAGGCCTGGGTTGGAACAAAGCTGCCACCAAGAATGGAGATGAAAAATCGCACTGCCTCTAAGCCTTCAATGTTGGTTACAAGCGCCGCTAGGCCGGACGGAATAGCTCCTAGAATGAGTAGAGAAGCCAAAACCTTTCGTGGCCCAAATTTATCGCATGCAGGACCAGCAATAAGGCGTACCAGAGCTGTGCCACCAAGAGAGGCTAGGTTGGAATTGGTGACTTGATCTTGAGTAAGGCTGAGATCCGCTTTCACTACCTCGGGCACCAGTGGGGAAAAAGCAAACCAAGAAAGGAAAGCTACAAAAAACCCCAGTGTAGCTAGCCAAAAGGCTTTGCAGTAGAAGTCGTCCCAAATCCGAAAGAGAGGAAATGTAAGGCTTTTTCCATTGAGAGGATTGACTTCGGCTCGCCGCCACAGTGAAGACAGTCGAAACGTGTGTTTGCCCGTACAAGTATCCTGCTCTGTCCTGTGATGTTCCTTTAGTATGCCGGTATTGACGCCGTCTGGTTGAATAAAGAATATTCCATGATTTGATCCACTGCTGATAGACGGGGAGAAACTAGTAGCTGCCTCTTTTGAGTCTTTAAAGGCCTTTATATCATCCTGGGCGGCATATTTTGATGTGCTGGAAACCATTTTTTCCCCTACGCCCGAGTTCTGAGCTAGTATTCTCGTCAAATATAGCGGCTAACGATGATACTGAGAAGTAGCAGGGAATATACGGAAGGTTCTAGAGACCGTATCGAAGACGTCTAACGATTTGCACAGAAGCAGAAGAACTATCATGCGGCAAAAGGTTAACACGGATTCAGGTAAGAAAGGAGATAGAGAAACTAACATTAGCTGCTGAGATATTGTATCACAGAGGAAAACACAAAATTTAAATCGTTTTTCTGGAAATATTGAAGGGGGACGAAATTGAATGCCAGAATGTCAGCAGTTGTGTAACATTGTATGAAATATACTAAGTCACACGTCCCTTTCATTGCATTCTAAACCTATACTGGTGTTCTACGGAATCAAAAAGCCTAACACTATCAACACTTTGTTGCAGCTCTGTACAGATTTCAGTTAAGATAGAGAGTGAAGACGATAACGAAATGATATCATGAGTTGAGCTTATCTCCCGAGGTTAATACAGAGATAACACAACCGGAGATGCAAAATTCAAACTCAGGAACTCGTTAGCTAAAACATGAGATGAGATAAAAACAACTCTTTCTACTACATACTCTGCTGTATTCTGCCTATATCACATTATGATCTCCGCTGCCCTAAGAGGCTCTAAGGCATAATGGTAAAATCACTCTACAGCTTCTTTACAGGAAGATTTGACATTCTCCGAGGAGAGAGGCGAAAGGATATTAGTAGTATTGCTGATAAGGAAAATTGGTTTGATAGGCTAGCAAGAAAGTGAAATAGGAAAGTAATGCGGGCTTTAGAGCGAGAGCTAGAGCCCAATGGCGGTAGCGGATTCTTAGTATAGACAAGTCTATTTGTGTTTATTTTGGCGAGATGGAGCAAAAGATAAGGCGACAAGGGACTACTGAAATGGCAAATAGCTCTGGTAAGCGTACGAAGAAACCTTGGATGTCCAAGCATTGGGATTCAATATGTAACGTAATGGAGGTTGACAGCAAGGCAGTGAGAAAGTTAACACGATGGAAATGAAACTCGAAAATATGGGTATATCTTGAATTGAGATTTTTTTAAAGAAAAATCCATTTTGATTCACTGTGTTTATTCTAATATAAACGATATCTGTTACAGCAAAGAATACAATTAAGTGGTTTAAAATAGACGTGTATAAAAACACCATTTACGATCTATTGGCTACTTCTACCAGTCAAGTGCACCGCTGCCTCCACATGTCTGACGAGAAGCCAAGTGTGGCGGCTGGCCTCTCATCTTGCTAGGAGGTAGTGGTTCTGCAATCTCTATTGCTGGCTCTGCATCCTTTGCCAACGCTTTCAGCTCTTCATCTGCTTTCCGTAACATCCATTTTGTTGTTGACAGTACGGCGTCAAGTGCTTCTGTAGGAGGAAGGTAGATGAGTATCTCGTTGTTAGTCTCATCTGCCTTGACCTCAAAAGTCATGATTGAGTAGTCGACGTCTGAGCAGCTCCCGCCGCCTTCAGCCGCGTTGGGGTTCAGCAGGAAATTCCGCTTATGTAGTGGACAAGACACATATTCTCTGCCTTTTTCATCTTCGCCTACTAAGCCATCTGCTAGCACAAAAGCCTTCTTATGCGGGCACATGTTTTGTGATGCGCGCAAGCCACGACCCGGAATGTTCCACACAGCCAACTGAACTTCACCGTATTTGACAGCGACCGATGTCGGTGCATCACTCTGGCGGTTCAGTTCTGAAAGTTTGCAGACAGATCGCCATGCCCACTTCGCATCTTTTGCGATATCTAGCAAGCTGAAGTGAAGTGGAGAGCTGTCTTCAGGCCAATCTGCGGGACGCTTTTGGGCCCGCTCCATGATGTGTTCTGATGACGTCTGCGTCTCGTCTGTATTGGCAAACTGCTTGAAATCTTTCCGACGATCCGGATTATTGACAACATTCGTCCATTCACAATGATAAAGGCCAACGAGTACCTCCATCTCCTTTTCTAGGTCGGCGCATATGCCAAGTCTGTCGTCAACGATGACCTCCTTGATGCCTTTGAGACCGCCCGGGTATCTCTCAATCCAGCGAGCTGTTCGCTCGAGTTTGTCTGCTGATTGGATGTAGAACATAAGAAATCGGTCCAAGATCTTGATCGCTTGCCGTCGTGTTACATCCTCGGCAAGCAGTTCAGCATGGCGAGGCTTTGCGCCTCCGTTTCCTCCCACAAAGACATTCCAGCCTTTGGGCGTGGCGATGAGACCAAAATCCTTGCCTTGGGCCTCGGCACATTCTCTTACACATCCAGATACACCGCCCTTGAATTTGTGGGGAGCTCGAAGGCCCTTATACCGGTTCTCGATTTCCACCGCAAGACCAACTGAGTCGCCCACCCCGAATCGACACCATGTATTGCCGACACAGGATTTGACTGTGCGTAGTGCCTTACCATAGGCATGGCCGCTCTCAAAGCCGGCATTGATAAGCAACTCCCAGATTTGTGGGAGGTCCTGTTTCTTGGCGCCAAACATGTCGATACGTTGGCCGCCTGTGATCTTTGTGTAAAGTCCATACTTGTCTGCAACTTCTCCAATAACCTTGAGCCCCATTGGAGTGATTTCACCCGCAGGAAGACGTGGAACAACAGAATAACTCCCATCCCGCTGCACATTGGCAAGATAGCGATCATTTGTGTCTTGCGTTTGGCGCAGCGAAGGCTTCATAATGTTCTCGTTGTACAAAGAGCTCAAGATGGAGCCGATCGCTGGCCTGCAAACTTCGCAGCCAAGACTATCGGACTTCTTGCCAGCGGCACGCATCACTGCCACGAAATCCTTGAGTTTTCTGAACTTGGCGATTTGGTATAATTCTTGGCGCGAGTAAGCGAAGTCCTTACAAATGTGGTTGGAGATTTCGACACCAGCGTCTTTGAGTGCTCGGTTGAAAATGCTAGTGGCCAAGGGCACACAGCCTCCGCAGCCCATGCCGCACTTTGTCGAAGATTTCATCTCTCCAAAAGAGCGAATACCGCCGGACTTTACACACTCCACAATGTCCCCCTTACTGACATTATGACAGCTGCAGACTTGAGTATCATGAGGCAAATCATCGCCTTCTTCTTCGCCCTCTTTTGCAGCTCCAATGATAAACTCGGCTGGGGGCTTCTCGATGGGCTTGCTTGCATTGCACAGGGCAACGAGCTTGACGTAGTCTTTGACCTCGCCAACCATCATGCCTCCCAAGATGTATTTGCCATCTGCGGTGAAAATGTATTTCTTGTAGACATCTGAGAATGGATCTCGGTAAATGAGTGCTTTGACCTTTTTCTTTATGTCCTCTGGCGTGGGAGGTGTTGTCTGAGCCTTGCGAGCCGCATGGGCGCCGGTAGCTCCTGGTAGTGGTTTGCTGATCTTGCCTTGGTCTGCAAAGAAATCACCAAATGAGGCAACATCCACACCCATAAGCTTGAGCTTTGTACTGATGTTGGGAGACTTCATCTCCCTCTTGCTGTGATAAGGCCCTTCCGTCAGATTGAAGGCGAGAATATCGGCCATTTCGATACCAGGAGCTATCAGACCAAATGTTTCTCCAAGGAAATTGGCACACTCTCCAATAGCGTATATATGGGGCAAGTTTGTACGAAGCTGGTTGTCGACAATGAAACCGCCATTGTGGTTGGCTGTGTCTATGGAAGTGCCTTTGGCGAGATCATCTCGAGGTTTAATTCCGACGGCAAACACAACCATGTCGACGTCGTATTGTTGGTCCGGTGACCCATCTTGCCCTTGAAGAAGTAGGCCAGAGAGCCTTTTCTCGCTGTCCCATAGGAGGTTTTGAACTCGGGCCTGGATCAAAACCTCAACGCCGAGAGATTTAATCTTCTCCAGTACCAGCGAACCGCCTTCCTGGTCAAGTTGTCGACTAAGCACCCAACGATTTCTCTCCACTAAGACCACTTGATCGACTTCTTCAAGATCTAGAAGAGCCTTGGCAGCTTCTAAGCCGAGAAGGCCACCACCAATTACAGCTGCCTTGCGAATGCGGCGCCCAATAACGGCGGGGGCACTGACGGCATAGTCGATAATATTGTCGAGGTCTTTTATTGTTCGGTACACAAAACAACCTCTAGCGTTTTTGAATTGTTGCGGTGAGATATAGGGCGGTAAGGCAGCATCAGAACCTGTAGCTAGGATACACTCATCATAGTGGAACTGTTGCCCGCTGGCCGTTTTGAGACATTTTGCGTGAGAATCAATCGTGATAACAAGATCCGAAGTATGATATGTAAGCTTCCCTTTGGAATGTGATGAATACCACTCCAGAGGGTTGAGGTATAGACTTTCAGTTGAGCGATTCGTGAAGTACTGCGTAAGGCCAACACGGTTATAGGCGACATACGGCTCCTCGCCAAAGACAGTAACCTCCCATTCGTCGCGTCCACTATCCAAGTCGTACTTCAAAAGCTTTTCGATGAAAGAAATACCAACCATACCAAGGCCGATCACGGCGGCACGTTTTTTATGCCTTGGCTGGATGGCTGCTGACTCTGGGCGCATATCGGCAGCCGCAGTATTCATCATGTGCTTCGATCTTGGGAATGTTACAGACACATGAGACTCTAACGAGCGTAGGTTTCTGATCTCATGTAATAGTTTAGTGCTATCACGAAGTATAAAAAGCAGCTGTTTAAGCTTTTTCACTACTGAGCAGCGAACATACTTGAATGTCGAGAGACCCGACGAGAGGCCACTGACGCTCCGAGGACTTACGCATACCAAGATAGGTTTATTATTCTGAAGCAATGCCTGATAATATTGTCATATTGGCCATTTCCTCGGAGAAGTTCAAAATTGAATCCAGCGTCATACGTGTTGCTTAAAAGAGTCCTATTGCTTACAAGAGTGATACTGTGGAGATGTCATCGTACAAGATAGGCAATACGCCTGAGGAGATAGATGGTTACCTAAATCTCAGTGGTATCTGTAAAGCAGTAGTTCAGATAAGAGATATACACAATATTAAGAAAGTTAATGCCCCTAGTCCATTCAAGGGTGCCGTACTGTTATCGGTCTCTGGGACACTTTCACGACCTAACTTATCTGGCATGTTGAATCTCCGAACCATCGCGCTAACATCTCCGCGGAGAAGCTCAATCGAGATAGCGATTTAAGGAGCGAATATCAAGCATCCGGTATGCTTACGCGCACTCCAAAGAAACAAGAGAAAAACTCCATATGTACGATATCAGACCTGGTCGTTGATAGAGAACAGGCAAATCGGAAGCTACGAGAATAAGCAAGCAACTAGCTGGGACGTTATCGCTGGGCACTTATTGGCCATGGAGCCTTTAGCGTATTAAGCGCCCCCTTCCTTGCATTAGTCGGTACTCCTGGGGTGACCTTAGGCTAAACTTTCAGATGTTGCAGCAAATCGCGTGTTGTAGATCCAGTAACAGCTGGAGAGCGCTGTAGAAATCATTGTTGGATGGATGTAGAGCGGTTCGTATGATGTGAGAATCTCACTGAGATGAGGTATGAGTCTTTCGAGAATTACCTTGACGACATGAAATAGCATCTCCGGCTTTCGGGATAGTCATTGATGCGCCTGCGCCTTCTTCTTTCCACTCTCTGTTCCAAAAATTGGTACATGAGGGATTCCTGTTAGACGTTATCATATCAGTGCGCTGTCTTTCTTCGAACATTTGAAAATTGTATCATTGCTGAGAGTTATTGACCTTTGGTCTCTGACCGAGTAATTCTCATCTGTTTAATACACCGTACCCATGATGGCTTCAAGTCAATTGACATCAGACACCGGCTCCGAGAGTGGGGAGGAGTGGCCGTCTTCGCTTCCATCATCACCTGAGCCATCATCTCCAGGAACGCCAGAATCACGCAGTCCAAGACTAAAGGCAAAGCCAGAGTCAGTTCAAAAAGTGTGTGAGGTGTGTGAGGGTCCGTTGGATCCTTCTGCATCATGCCATAGCTTTGCTTCACTGCCTCCCATCCCGAGAACCGAAGCTATACAGTTATTATCCACCGATTCTCAAACTCCAGATCATTGGATTGCACGAGACAGCCGCATGATTCGACTTACGGGGAAACATCCGTACAACGTAGAGGCCCCTTTATCCGCGTTGTTCGATGCTGGATTTCTTACTCCCCAAAACCTCTTCTATGTTCGCAGTCATGGAGATACTCCACGTGTCAGCATCAAGCAAGCGCAGGAATGGAAGCTACGTATCCACGGCCTTGTCGAGAAAGAGATAGAATTTTCGATTCAAGAGCTCAAAGACAAATTCCAAGTTGTCACGTTACCTGTCACTCTGGTATGTGCTGGCAACCGTCGTAAGGAGCAGAATATGGTTCTCAAAGGGCTTGGGTTCAATTGGGGTGCAGCGGGTGTGTCTACCGGTCTCTTTACAGGCGTCTATCTAGCCGACATTCTCGATTACTGCAAGCCTAAGAATCCTCTTTTATCTTCATATCCCTCCGGCGATCAACATATTCCTGGACGTGCGCGTCATGTCATCTTCGAAGGCGCAGACGAGCTTCCCAAAGGCAAATATGGTACATCTCAGAGGCTCAGCTGGGCGTTGGATCGAAGCAAGGGCATGCTCATATCTTGGGGCCTCAATGGCGAGGATCTTCTACCTGATCACGGTTATCCTCTCAGATTAGTGGTCCCGGGCCAGATTGGTGGGCGAATGGTAAAATGGCTCCAACGAATCGAGGTGTCGGACCGTGAGAGTCAGCACCATTTGCATTTTTTCGACAACAAGCTTCTCCCCACTACAGTGACTGCCGACCAGGCGAGAAAGGAAGACAAGTGGTGGTACGACCCAAAATACATCATCAATGAACTCAATGTCAATGCGGCAATCTGTTCACCATCCCACAACGATACAGTTCAGCTGGCATCGGATACTTCCATGACGCAGATTCTACCCATAGAAGGATATGCGTACACTGGTGGTGGGCGACGTATAACCCGCGTCGAGGTGACGCTTGACGATGGAGAGACTTGGAATCTCTGTGATATAAAATACCCCGAGGACCTCTACCGCATGCACCCTATAGGGAACCATCCTTACTACGGGTCTCTTGATCTGACCATGACTGATATGAGTTTTTCTTGGTGTTTTTGGAAGCTTGAAGTTGATGTCAAGTCACTGCTGGTAGATCGTGATGCCGGATTCATTGCCGTGCGCGCAATGGATGAAGCTCTGAGCATTATGCCGCGAGACATGTATTGGACTGCCACGTCGATGATGAATTCTTGGTGGTTTCGCGTCGCCTTATACAAGGAGAATGGCGGCCGAACTCTTCGATTTGAGCATCCAACTGTGCCAGGTAATGCCAACGGCGGCTGGATGCAGCGTATGAATGAGGCTGGAGCAGATCCAAGACATCCTTGCCTCAAGCAGAACAATTTGTTTACTGGTCCATCATTTGGTTCCACCACAGCAACTCCGGTTACATCTCAAAGAAATGAAGCGGGTGAAGATACCAAGAGCGTGATGATCAATCCGGATAAAGCAGCAACAATCGTTACGGCATCTCAGTTTGCCGAGCATGCTGATGGAGAGGGTCCGTCTCCTTGGTTCGTCGTCGAGGGCCATGTATATGATGGGACAGGTTTCCTTACGTCGCACCCTGGTGGAGAGCAATCCATTCGTCTAGCTGCTGGCGAGGATGCCACCGAAGACTTTCTGGCTATTCACTCTATGGATGCTAAGAAATTGTTGAAAGATTACCATATCGGGAAGCTGGAACAACGCGCATCGCCGCCAACAAGTCTGTCACCAAAATCTGAGAGCCAAGATGATCCATCTAGACCGTTTCTCGATTCAAAAGTATGGAAGAAGATTCGCTTAGTACACACGAGAGCTATTTCTCACGATTCACGAATCTTTCGTTTCGCCTTGCCTCACGAAGACCAGATCCTCGGCTTACCAGTGGGCCACCACGTTTACTTGCGCGCAAAGAAAGTTGACAAAGCAAACGGGAAAGTTAAGACTGTGCAACGAGCATACACTCCGTATAGCTGCAGTTCCCAACGTGGCTTCATCGAGCTTCTCATCAAAGTGTATTTCCCTTCCAACAATTCGACGCAACCCCAAACTGTATTTGCTGGGGGTCAAATGACCATGTTGCTCGAAGACATGGCAATTGATGCAGAAGCGGATGCATTGACGGTCGAAATAAAAGGGCCTATAGGTCATTTTACATATATCGGTAATGGGCGAGTTCAATGCAAGCCTAATAATCGTGTTCGCGCCATTAATAAGCTCGCTTTGGTTGCAGGCGGCAGTGGAATTACTCCAATCTGGTCCACCCTCAAAGCCATAGCAGACGAGTACTCAGCCTCTTCAGCTTCTGACCGTCGCAAGTCGGTAGAAGTATGGCTTATCTATGGTAATCGAGAGGAGAAAGACATCCTGATTCGCGAGGAGCTTGACGAACTCTCACGTCAGATGGAAGGGAAGCTGCATATATGGCATGTGTTGAGTTCTAATGCGATAAGAGAGGAGTGGGCAATGGGAAGAGGATATGTGGATCTAGAATGTCTCCAAAATCACCTACCGCCAGCATCTTTTCCTCTGGCTGGTGTAGACCATAAGGATACGTTGGCGTTAGTTTGTGGTCCCCCCGCGATGGAAGCGAATGTTTCTGTAGGATTAGAAAAGCTTGGGTGGAACGTTGAGGAAGATGTGATAACTTTCTAGTAGTTGATTTAAATACCACTTGCGCGACGCCCTTTATTATTCTGTTTTGTATCGAAAATTAACAGTTCATTACCGCTTAAAAAATTGCCGACCTAAAAAAGCAGTACACCCAATGGCCACAAATATTCCAAGCCAAGCCGTGGCTGCTTTTTGCAGTATTTTCCTCGTAAACCTATCTCTTGCTGCAGCCTCATTGACATGCGGAAATGGCTGATTTGGGATTCTTTTATCCAGAAACTTGCACAGTGGCTCCCATCCGGATCCCAGTTCCACCTCAAGTAAGCGCTCCTTTGGAACCGTTTTACGCACATATTCGTTGTGTTGCTCAATCCAGAGTGGGTTGCATTTGTATCCGGTCCTATCTTCAGCTCTGTGAAACCATTAGTTCATCAATTAAACACACCTGGTAGGGTAGTGCTGGAGAAGGGCGTCTCACGCTTCAAAGAACCCTCGCGCTGTGTCAATGAACCATCGGACACCGGGCAATGGCATGGTGACATAGCCCATTATTTTGCTGCCTGCGTTGTCGGACACTGTCTTGAAGCTTTTCCACCAAGCTGCTGAAGGGCGTGTGACAAGCACGAATTTTGCATCTGGATATAGCTCCATGAGCTCTGGAATGAAGTCAATGGCGGTCACATCGGTTGCGCCAACAAACCCTGAAAAAGCATCATCCAGCGCTTCAAGCAATTGAGTACGCTTGCCTGCACGCCGATATCGATATATTTGATTCCATTTCTTGCAGTAGGCTAAGCCATGTTAGCCCGTCTATATAAGCTTCAAATGGAAGAGTAAGTTGTGCTCACCATCTTCTCGATTAAAAAGCTGGGTAGCTGTATGGTGCACTGGTCCGTCAAGAAGTAATTCAAGGGCGTATGTGTAGGACAATGTTCCAGTTCTGGAGAATCCAGCATCTATTACTTTCAACCTTCGACTTTTATCCGTCGGTACAGATGCTACTTGTCCCATTATTGATATAGAGCTTGGAAAGTAGCCGAAAGAGTCACTATCGCAGCACCTATAGGAATTGTGGTAATATGCCCGCAGAATATAGAGCTTATCTATTATTTGTTTACTCCTCTTGATGTATTTTTAGACGCACGCGAGAACAGATCCAGGCACTTTTTGAGTTGCTTTAGTGAAGATGCAGGGAAATTAAGTCCTAAATGACTTGCTATAGGAGAGATGGCAGTCTTACCTCGTAAGCGCTACCCAAACCTTTTATACGCACTATGATGGCTTCCTTTTCTCCAGTGAATGCAGAGCTATGGATTCAAGACCAAAGCAACAAATGCTTTCTAGTGTAACACTTGACTGTATGGCGTTGGGCGGCTTATCGCTTATCCCATATCCACTGTGGCGCCAAAGTGTCTCAATACACTACGTTTACAGCCTATAAACTATGGAAAATGATAAGTGTTGCGCTGATATTACTCCTAAAATTATGAGAGATGACATAGATCCTTTGACACATGTGGATAACTTATCTAATTTATTGCTTCGCTAAGCTTCTTTCTACAAAAAAATATTCTTGCAGAATATAGGTCTTTCTCTAGTCCTTGCATGTGGAATGAAGCGAAGCATACTGTGTATAATTTCGCCCAGCATGGAACATGTAGCAGACTAGGCCAGTTGAACATATATTTCATTAAGCTAACGTGAAAATTTTTACCGCAGCCAAACGATGAGCGTAAGTAAGATGATTGTAGAGCTACAGATTAAATAGCCTGTGAAAAGACGTCGCATCGAGATACATCAGCCTTCTATATGCTCGAAGCTCGTGAGCGGCTGGGAAGGCTCAGTCAGAATGGTAGTAGGCGTAATCACTGTCGCTGGCGATGTCCCTGCAGTGATTGGGCCATCATCAAGATAATCCCAGTCTTGTGGCCCATCCTCATCAAAGACATCCCATGAAATAGATGACAAACCGCCATGCCGTTGATTTACCTCAATATGTAGGCTCATAGGCATATTCCAATTATGAACAGATATCTAAGCTATACCTAGACCAGGGCTGCATAGATGTAGTTTCCCAGGTGAAAGTACTTCTGGTTATTATTCTTAAATCTGTGTCTCACTTCTTTCTTCCAATGTTTGTTATAGCCGGCGCCACCTTATACAAATCAGCCCCTCGATAATCGATTCCTCGTTGCCACTTCTAAAGCAAGGAGTATGTCCATATAATGGCTTCCTTGGATCCAGGTTTGCGGAATAGCGCCCAACATGGCTCTGCCCTCCTTCAAAACCAGGGCCGGGCCTTCGGGACCACAAATGTCACCCACCCCACTTACGAGGGCGCTCATTCTTGAAGTTTGACTGGAACTCACAAACAATTGGACCATTTCGTCATCATTCGGCCGATCTAGACGTATAAATGTGAGGTCGCCATCCCGCGAGTGGGCATGCTGCCTGAGTGGTGGCTGTGCACTTGATTCCGGGCTATCGCAATCCAACTCTTCCCCCCCGGAGACAATGCCGTTGTGAGAGGGGATTCGTCCCGGGGGACTAGTTGGTCCATACCCTACGGAGCTTTTCTTTCTGGGCGTGTAGAATCCATATGCCCAGAGCGCCAAGGTTGCATAGAAAATAGAAAGAGGTTCGTAAAACGCTGCTCTTGAATATCGTCGGATGTGCCAAAAGACGCAGCCGCCATGGATGACCGCTAATCTGGCCTTAGACTAGAAACAATATTTCAGTAAACAGGGCTAACTGGGGATTAATTGCCGATATTTGAGACCTACACCATCCCTTTGTGTCCATTCACGAATGATATTCTCAGCCGCTTGTATCGCCTTTTGAGAATGACTACGTCGAAAACCAGCCTCATTATCATTTAACATTGGCAACACTGATTCCCCAATTGCTATTAATGCCACACGTGGCACGAGGAGCACTATTCGAGAGTAGTGAAGGTGTAGAACCATTGGATGCTCCGCTCCGGAAAGGGATGCTATCTTTGCGTTTGCGGCCCAGTGTAAAACGTCAACACCATCAAGGGCGGCATTTCTCCAGTCGGATACAGCATTCGAGTGCTGTACAGAATGGCCCAAGACTGTAAGTTTCCGAACCCTCAGGTTCAACGATTCAGAGGAGGACACCGGGAATACGCTTCTGCTTTCGGAGGTTGGAGTCCATGATGCTAGCTGCCGACTGTGGTATGTAGTTACTTTCGCAATCTCATTATATACCTCGTGTAGAATGATACAGTGTGAGAACTCGCCAAGATTGGGACGAACTGACTTGGCTTGAAATAGCTCGTTTGTAGCTTCGGAGAGTGATGGGTTTCCTATATCTGCGTTAGTTGTCGTCTTATAGGTATGAGTGGATTATTCAGCAGAATACACCGTACGTTCTGTTTTTGTAATTAACCCGAACCAGTCATGGCGAGTCTGGGCCTGCCATAACTTTTCCTGAGGCAGGGCAAAGTCGGCAGCGGCCCCACCACTTTGATCGATATCAAAGTTGAAGTGATAGGCCATCATAGAGTTAAGAACCTGTTGATAGCTTCAGTGATTGAGACTATACATAAGAAGGTAGGAGCATTCATACACGGCCCGTAAAATATAGACGGCGCCAGCTTTCAGCCTCAACCCATTCGTCCCAACCATTAGGCTTCAGCGCTTTATGGTCACGATACTCCAGAAGATGTTTATGGCTTTGCGAGTTTATTAATGACAGGGTAAAGCTCCACATACTTCTCACAGCTGAACTGGGCTCCTTGGACTCGGAATAAAAGATCCCAACATGATTCAATATTCGGGCCTGTAACCCTGGCAAATCGGTCATCTGCTCTTCCGAGCGCTCAGAATCTTGCTGTAACAAACGTCTGCAGAATTCATGAAGCGGTGAGGAACAGGTTGTTAGTTCCTGTGATCGAAAATAGTGTGAGCCAACCGCAGCCATTGCGATTGTCAACACAATTGATTTGTTCACGTCCAAAGACGCCAAGTGAACAAACGGGAGGATTGGATCAAAACATTTCCAGTACAGTTTTACAAAAAGGTTCAACAAAGATAATGGCGGAAAGTTTTGCGTCTCAAAACAAGGCAAATGCGACTGCATTTGAGGAGAGATGTTTTCATAATGTTGAAGAATAGTGTTATATGTGAGCTCAGAAATCGTTATCGAAGGATCGCAGATACTGTCATCGAGTGGGCCTATTCTTTCAATGTCTGGAAATACATCATCGCGCTTCGCACGGGTTGAACAAGCATTTCGCGCACCGTTAGAGCTTGTTGCATATAAGTCTCCCCGTTTGTAACTCGAGAAAAATGAGCCTTTTGCTGAGGAGATGTCGGCTATGGACGCATTTCGTGAAGCACCGTTGGAAATCTTGTCATCGATATGTGCTAGAGGGGGAATGTCCAAGTTCCATGATTGCCCTTCCAGCAATCCATTCGCTATAGTGCTAGAATTGATGGAAAGCCATTGCGCATCGTCAAAAGGTGAAAGAAGAACCGTTCCGTCTAGCGTAGGTCCTAAATTCAGGTCAATCGTTTCGTCAAAGGGTAGCCAATTGATTGGCTGGCCAAAGGCCTCTGCGCCCGACTGAAGCCCATCATTCCGGAATGGCCACAGAGCAGATCCAGAATGGCCAGGTGCTAAAATGCTCGAAAGTTGATTATCAGAGGTTGGAGAGCCAGATATTGGTGTCCATGGGGCAGTCTGACCTGCGGTAGTATACCGCCTAGTGGATGAATCGGAAGCTTTATCTGGCTGGCTATGGGTTTGATCAAACATCAGGGCAGTCAGATTATGGCCATTATCGTTGATGTCTTGTAAGTTCTCTTGTAGAGCACCCGAGGATACTAGATCGGCGACAGAAACATTCTCGGCATGGGGTGATTTCGATGTGCTGGTGATTTCTCCAAAAGAGTGGTGGTCGAAGCTATCTTGCTGTTGGCTTCCCGGGTATACACAATCCAGGAACCTACGAGAACATCGCATACATGGTAGTTCCTTGGTGCACTTTTCTCTCGCTTTTGCGCAAGCATTGCAGGCTCGGGATTTGCGTGGTACGGAGCCATTTGAAAGAGGTTGAACAGGAACCTCTGTCGAGTCAGCAGCATGCGCTGATCGGTGCTTGGATAAAATATCACTGAGAGCAATATCAGCACAGTACATGTTGAACAGACAAAAAAAAAACTGGAATAAGGGAGGCAATACCTTCTAGCGAATTGTTTGTTACAAACATGACAAGTGTATCGCTTCGAGGCATCATGATTGCGAAGATGCCGCCTCATGTGCTCTGGCCGGATGAAGCGACGATGACATTCTGGGCACTGAAGTTTTCTACCATCCATATTCGAGGCGCAATGAGCTGCAGGGTCTTGCATTGTCTTGATAATGGTATCAGCTCAAGATCCACGATAGAGAATTCTGTGACTCTTTTCTTTTCTTTTCTTTCTTTTCTTTTTACTTGAGATGGCAAGTCAGAAGACTTGCTTGTCACTGGAACGAGGATACAAATAGCCGCTTTAGCATAAAATCTGGGGTTTAGCATTTCCCCACAGGCCCGTGTACGGATTGCCACTTAGTACCACGAAATTCAGTTCAGCGTTTACATGCGCGCCAATCACGTTCGCCGTCGCCTCTAAGCATAACTGAGTTGTTCTCTATTGCAAAGTAGTCTGGAATAGTAAATTCTGATCTATAAACGTTGGCTCGGCTTAGGCCAACTGTGTAGCCACTTGGTGGGCATTGGCCGACGATGCCAGATGTGTTTAAAGCAGAATTGTCTGCAAACTCCATTTCAATTATTGCGTTGTCTAGTACCTTCCTCGTAACGGACCGAAAAGTCACTCTTCCTCTCGGCGTAGCAACACCCGCATCTCTCCATTTCCACCTCTGTTGGCTCTTAAATAATAAGGTATAAAAATGCCGCTCCTTTCTAATTTATCATCGCCAATCGAAGCATCAAATATTGGCCCATCAATGCGCGCAGACACATCCTCATTCGCAAGCCAACATTTTGTACGTAGCTCAAGATAGACCTCTCCGTTCGGCATGGATTTTGCTTCTTCCGATATGGGCTCGCTTTTCTTGAGAGCAACGTCACGGAAGTGATTATGCTGCCACGGGTTATCAACATCTTCCATACAATAGACGATCGGACCACGTGCGATCCCAAGCACGTTCTGACCCGTATAAGGGTGCGGCGAGATGTAACGCGGCTCAAATCCTCCAATGGTGATGGAAAATCTTTTGTTAACATTCGTGTAGCTAGGACGCAAAGTCAAATAACCTTTGTCGATTACAAAGTCATCTGAAGCCGGGACTGGTGTCATTTTAAATTGTCCCTGGCACCAAGATGGTAAACGAAGTCGAATTGTAACGTTCCGAGATTCCGAAGACAGCTCGAGAGCGACATGGCCATCCCCCGGCCAATTTGAAGTCTGCTGCAAAGTGACTGTTTCCAACGATGCCGTGGTATATGACAGATTAGCACTCGTGTAGAGATGGATATTTATCGCAACCCCTGTTTCGCTCTCTTGAACGTGCCAGATGTAGCCTCCAAGGCTGCCAAATAGTCTAGTCAAATTGGGCGGACAGCATGCGCACCAAAACCAGTCCTTGCGTATGCTCTTATCAGTATCAGAGCTTGCTAGCTGGTTAACGTAGGTGAATTGTTTCCCATCAAGACTCATTGCGTTCATTATGTTATTGTAAAGACACAGCTCCATGACGTCTGAGTACCGTGAGTCGAGGTCAAAAGAAAGTAATCTCTCTGCCAGCATCATGACGCCAATTGAGGCGCACGTCTCTGCGTAGCAACCGCCTTCATTAGTGCCGGTGGGTAGAAAATAATCATACCCAAAGCCCTCCCATTGTTTAATTGCGCCAATCCCGCCGGTCACGTACATTTTCTTGTTCACCATGTTGGCCCACAATCGACATACGGCTTCCATCCAGTCATCAGGGTTACTCAAAGCCTTGTAACCTGTATGGTGCAGTTGGACCATATCAGCCATAGCTGTGAGCAAATACACTGCACGTACAGAGTGTCCTTCGATTGTTTCCTGCTCCAAGATAGGCTTGTGAGCTTGGCAGTACCAGTGAGAATCCTTTTCGGGATACGTGTTGGGCCGAGTGTACGGATTTTCTTGTCTTTGCTGGGCTTCCCAGTCAAAGTAATGCATTCCGTGCTGGCCAGACGGATTTCCCCGCTCTTGAAGGAAATATTGAGCTAGTTCGTAGGCCTCTTGAGACTTGGTGACCGTATAGAGTCTTAGCAAAGCCATCTCAATCTCCGGATGGCCGGGATATGCATGCAATTGACTTTTGCCACCCCCAAATGTGCTATGAATCAAGGACACATATTTGAGGATGGGGTCCAAGAGGCGAGTGTTTTGGTAGCACTTGTGGTGCGCGAGGGCCGCTTCAATGAGATGACCTGCATTGTACCTAACTATCGGATTAGCTCGTGCAGGTCGGTCCATTGGAGAAGACTAACAATTCGTGCATGTCGCGAAGGTTTGACCACCTCTTTTGGGGCTCAACAACTGTATAGTGCACGTTGATATATCCGTCAGATTGCTGAGCGCTGCGTATCATGTCAACTAATTCTCGGACGGCAAGGTCAATACTGGCATCATGTTCCCTCTGGAGAAAGTAACAGGCGCTCTCAATCCATTTTGCGACGTCACTATCCCAGAATAGGTGAAAGGGAACCGGCCACATGGACTTGTCATCATAAATCGGATGCCATTTGAGCTTAAAGCAGTCGTATCTTCCCGTCTGCTTAAGCTGTTGTAATTGTGCGTGTAGTGTAACGCTGGCAATTAGATGTCTTCGTCGCGAAAGAATGGTCTCTCCGAAAAATGAAGTATTTTCGAATGTAGACTGAGGATGTGACATGTTGACGAGTCTGGTGATGCGCATTGAAGCGTTAATATTTAGGCAGATTGAAGCCGACAGGGCACTCGATGTGCTTTATTCAACGACCGCGGCTTTGTAAAACGCAGCTAGTACTTTTGCTTCCACTGTTTTGGGCCTGTGCTGGAGAATACTACACCATCAGTTCGCGTTATTTACTTCCGAGCAGTCTTCTTTTTTCTCTTCTGTTCTGATTCAAAGCTTCCTCTTAGAATTAATTCCACCGTCAATGTTGTTCAAAAGCTTGACCATGGCAGGCTTAAGCATATGCCGTTTAGAATCCCGGTGGACCCCTGCTAAGTCTGGGGAATGTCGATGCTCCATGCGGCAGCTCCGGTGGATCGTGGATACAGATGATGCCACACCTAGCGTCTATTGACTCCAGGCTATTTAGCGTTAAGATTTGTGCCTGAATTGAGTAAAATCATGTCACAGACAAACATTTCCGGCACTTGATTACACTGGATATAGTCCACTGTTACGTTAACTGTGCCCACTCTGCCTTCCCAACGGCAGCGCTACACCATTTACCCCAATCTTCGCAACTGAGAATATTATTCATTGAGTGGGGAAAATTTCATTTTCAAGTCACTGCAACAGCGTGACTTAATGGAATTGTTGCGGTTTATGTAATGACGTTCGGTATACTTATATCACCACGACAAGGACCCAAGCTGATACGATATCTACATGCATATACGAAATAGCAGATTTCACTGCTCTATATGGGTCTATTAGCAGAATATAAATACTTGTATTACGGCGAATGTGACTTTCTTGATAAATCTCAAAATGCTATTTAATGTTATGTCAAAGATCAAATTCGAATGCCCAACCCGCAACGGTGTCAGTTTGATATATGGGAAAAGTCAAAGATCCGGCACTATACGAGTGTGCGACCGTATTCCGAAAAATAGGCGCCGCTTGAACTGAAAGCGGGTTGCTTCCATCAAACTCCCATGTACTGATAGAGAGAGATCCAGATGCTGGTTTCCCAACAGACGTCAATCCATTCAGAGTCACATACCAAGTTCCGCTCTGTAGCTTTGTGCCAACCATTAGTCGCACGCGGTCCTGTCCGATGGTGGCATATACATCTAGGTGTGTATCACCAGATCTCTCAATTGTCGCTCTGTGGCCAGTCATATTAGTGGCGTAGTAACGATAGACCCAATAGCCCGGTGCTGGTGCGTAGTCTGTGGCTGCGTAATTCTTTGGGTCGGCTTTCTTCGCTGTGGGTTCTCTTTTAGCAAACTCTACTAATTGTCGTACAGAAAGACATTTGGTGTAGAGGCGCCTTACTGATGAGATTGGCAAAAAGATCATGTAAAACTGTTCCGCCCTGCCAATTTCCTAACAACCCGATGAAATCAAAGCGTTCCAGTCCGGCAATCCACCAAATATACGATCCAGGAACCATTTCTTTGTATTGAGCGTACTCGTTGACGTTGACCTGTCTCTGCGGAGCATTATATGTCTTTAGAAGTGCCGAAAGACTCGCATTTGTGTAACTCGGATCATTGGTGGTATCGGTCTCACTCCCTTCCAGATGATAGGTATACTGGTCGGGAATCGTGTTATTGCCAGCCACTTGACGCAACCATTGTGTCCACCACACATTCGTCGCTTGTGGGCGATAGGCCAAGCTGGGACCAACAATCTTCATGCTGTTGAACCTTGAATCTGAACGAATGAGCTTATGAGTCCGGATATAGAGATCAATCCATTGCTGCATGCCCCCTTTGCCCTTCCAAAATATACTGATGTCAGGTTCATTCCATATCTCGTAATTTGTACCGTTAATGGCATTGTTTGTATATAGATCATTCAAGAGTTGGCGGACAAAATTGTCGTAGTCATCCCATTTGCCGTTGTCACCAGGCCAAACACTGCTGGTATTGGTATTGTCTGTTCCCCAGATATCATGCGCCAACCAGCTTACTTCGGCGTTATACTTACGACAGGCGTGATAATTGGAGAGTGAAGACTGAAATCGCCCGCGGTATTCTCCTAGTCCCCATGTCCAACCACGATTGGGAGCGCCAAGCTGAGCCCCCCCAGTGCGGCAACCCCGTATATCAAGGTCAGTCCAACTGGCGTTCGCGATTGTTAGTCACAAAGCACGGAGTGGAATGCAAGGAAAGAACTAGCTAACAAGTGGGATGGTATTTGCCCGCTATTATCTGGAATACCATAGATAAAGCCAGACGCAGCATGTTTTGAGGGTCCACGGGACGCTGCAAGGTTTACAATTGCCGTGTTATCTGCTCGCTGCTCCAGTACTGGCGAAGCGCTGGCAGAGATCAGGCTCAAGGCAAGCCACAGAATTGAAACCATGGTGGTGGATGTTTGTCTTCAGTGTGATGCAGAGGCAGATAGTAAAGATGAGAACATGAGTCTTTATGACCGCGTTGCAACCATTAATATTTCTAGCATTTGGATGGCATCCGTATTATATACGCAAGAGACGATGTCAAGAAGCGCATACTGTTTCTCTCAGTTTAAGCGATGCTCAAAGCTGCTTGTGGGTGTGCATCTTAACCAATCATTGCCTTTCTGTATCCCACCGGGAACGGTTTCTGCATCTGGCCGGAGTTGTGGAGATCGGAGAGCATCACCCGGACTCTTCCCCGCGCGACACGAATTAAGCAATGGTGGAGAGCTCCGCCTAAGCTGGGGTATTGCCAAGAATAATACTAGGGAATGTAAACCCATCTCTAAAAGATATATGGAGAGTTGTATTGCGTTTCTTTGACCGTACTCGTGTTATCATATCAGTAAAGGTCCACTGAACAGGTGTGATCATCGACAACATACTACAAAAAGTTCAATGGTCTGGGCTGAATGATGGGCTTTTTAAAGGTCAGTGTTATCAGTTCCAACAAGAAATATGACTTACACGTCGATGTCTCTTTCTAGACGTTTCTTCCGCCGGGCGATCGCTATGCGGCACTCTTGCTTTACGGCATGGTGCTGTCGACATGCTTCAATGGATACGACGCAGGTATCATGACTGTTATTCTTGCAGATAGCCAGTTTATCGAGTACTATAGCGTTGATGCCAATCGCTCTGGTATTATTGCTTCCATTCCGTGGGCAGCCACTGGTGCGTTCTCTGACTACTAAAATCTTTTTGTCAATCAGACTCAGGTGATTGAATAGCCTACTAAACTATCTCCGACCAGGCGTCGCGCAACTCTTCCTTGGGGGTACCCTCGCAGGCCTCTTAGGACGTCTATGGGCCCTCCGTATTTCAATTGTCATCATGATTGTTGGGGTCGTAGTACAGTCAGTACCGAATACGTTTGGAGTCCTTATCCTCGGCCGACTGTTAAGTGGCCTTGGCTTTGGGTGCGTGTACATAGCAACGAGTCTCTATGGTAAGACTATATCGCCAACTAGCATCAACGTACTGTACAATTCTAGAAGCTTACTGAAACTTGCAGTCGCGGAATGCTCACCCAAAGCGCTGAGAGGGAGTTTTGTCGGCACAGTCACGCAATTCGGCTACCAGCTAGGAACCCTAATTGCGTTTTGGGCAGGCTACGGCATGTCTTTCCACGATCACCCGTTCAACATTGCATGGCGCGTTTCAAACTTGATTCAAATACCAATTGGTCTCTCTTTCATCTTCATATCCTTCTGGTACCCCGAATCGCCGCGATGGGTACTTGAAAAGCACCCAGAAGACACAGATCGTGTGATGAACATTTTATGCAAACTTCGTATGGGAACTCCAGACTCTACTCATGTGCAGGAAGAGTACCACGAGCTCATGGCATCATATCTCTATCGCCAACGCTTTAAATCTGGCTATATCCGAATCTTCACCTCAGCAGCCCTGAGAAAACGCCTCCTATACGGTTTTTATGCTACAGCGCTTCAGCAAGCCGGAGGTATCGCCGCGTTGACCATGTATGCCGCGATAGTATGTTCTCACTCTGTGCAAACACCGATTGAACTTGGAAACCTGACTCGCTATGATTAACAGATTTATAAATCGCTGGGCTGGGATAAAGGCCATCAGGCTTTGGCCATCAATGGCATTCAGGCAGTTTTGCAACTCTTCATTGTGCTTATTAACACTGTAACCGTCGACCGTTTCGGTAGGAAGGCACTATTGATTGCGGGATTCTCAATCCAAGTCCTGGCATTACTCATAATGTCTAGCCTAACGACTGCATTCCCTCATAACGATAACAAGCCGGCGGCCGTCATGGAGGTTGTATGTCTCTTCATTGTTGGCATGACATATTGTTGGTCAAATGGTCCAATCGCCCCTGCCATCGCGTCGGAAATTTTTCCGCAAGAAGTTCGAGACAAGGCGTTTGGCATTTCTCTGCTTGGACAGACCGCATGTCTCTTGGCAATCACCCAACCCTGGCCGAAGTTTAACGAGGAAGTTGGCGGGAGAAGCTACTGGCTTTTGCTAGGACTTAACACCCTTTGTTTGGTATGGAAACAGGATTATGTCCTTCATCTTCTTCAAAGCATGTCATAGCTAACCTATACATACAGCTAAGCGTGATATTTATTCTCCCGGAAACCAAGGGAGTATCCCTAGAGCGCATGGATGCAATATTTGGCGAGATTGATGCCGTCGAAGCTGGCGAGGAGGCTCACAGAGACAAACTGGAGATGGTGGATGTAAAACAAGAAGAAGTGACTTTGGGGACTGAAATGAAAGGGTAGAGAGCACACTGGGCGTTGTGGTCCGTATGTTTAGGTAGTTAGATTCGAAGCTCTCGTGGTAGGTCGCTTACAACCAGTGAGAGATCGGGTAAGGAGGAATTTCACAGGAAGCCGTGCAATGTGTACCAATAAAACCGTGTGCATCAGTTGTGCGTAAGTCAAATTAAGATCCCGTATTGTTTAATTTTCCTTATTAGAAGATAGTTATCAGTTTCTCGAAGCAACACAAAAAAACAATCTATAACATTTGCAGAGTCCCAGTTCGTCAAGATTTGGTATTGTGGCCGCCATTGTAGTATAGAGCGGTACTAACCACCACTACTTCGGCTAACACTCGACCATCAATTAATTATAATCATGCTTTTGCAGAGAAGAGCTTCTCGATCCTCATGCTAATTGCGGCCAAGACAAGCACACCTCCACCAACAACGGCTACCACAAAAGTGCGCTGTATAGCATCCGTGACAGCATTTGTTGCTTCTGCTTTCAAAACTCCGTGGAGCTCAGAGAACAAGGTGCTTTGAGCGCCAGCAACAGCCCCCCGAATCTCGTCAGCGGCGAATCCTTCCCCTGCCAACACTTTTTCGAGATTAGCCATAGCACAGCTCTGGAAGATTTGGCCCGCTATTACTAGTGTGATAGTTGAGCCTCCCAGGCGACAGACGTTCTGTAAGCTAATTGCCCGTCCAACATCTGAAGGGCCAGCCTTGATACTGGCTATAGAAAACCCGAGAGAAAAAGTCATGCCTGTGCCAATGCCAATGATAATCATAAGACCATATATAACCCCTTGCTGCGTTGATGGCCTAAGATACACCATAAATAGGGTGCTACCGATAACAGTGAACAATCCACTTATCAGATACACCGGCATGTAGTATTGAATTTGCGGCAGGAAGCGACCTGTAGCAATATTCGTAGACACATTGATGACTATATATGGCAAAAGCCGTACAGCAGCCATAAGAGCTTTATCTCCATGAACAAATTGAAAATAAATTGGAATAAAGTAAATCATGCAGAATGCTGCCGCAGCATTTGCGGCCGTGGCAATGCAAAGAGATAATTGGGTGCGTGATTTCAGTAAATGAACAGGAAAACTGCGGTCTTGAGGTGTTGTGAAAATGCAGAACCATTGCTGAAGAATGTATCCGACAAGCAACGCCCCAAATACAGCCCATAGAGCTATAACCTGCGCACTAGACCAGGGCCATTGGATGCCTGCTGTGGTTGCAGCTATTGCAAATGTTACCCACATGGCTGCGCTTAAGATAAATCCTAGGAAATCTAGGTTGGCGACTCTTTTCGAAAGACTTTGATCTTTCGCTAAATGCAATGATGGCAAGAAGGTCAAATAAATAGGAGCTGTGACTGCAGCAATAAGAAGATTGATATAAAAGGCCCATCGCCAGGAAGCGGATGAAATAGCGAAGGCGCCGCCGACAAGGGGCCCTAAAACTGCACCTGCTCCCCAGCAGAAGCCTATGATAGAGATGTAGAAGGCACGTTCTGAGGGAGCAGTTATTGCACTGAAGTAGTTTAACGCACCGAGGAATAAGCCGGCACCTCCAGAGCCAGCAATAACTCTTCCGATAATGATGGCGCTTATATTAGGAGCAGCACCACACACGGCAGAGCCTAATTCGAAAAGACCGAAAGAAACGATATAGACCCATTTCATGTTGAATTGTGTAAAGGCTATTCCAACAGGCAATACAGATGCAGCAGAGCCTAGAGAGAACCCGGCACCGATCCAAGCTAGCTGGTCAACGTGGCCGAAAGCCTCAATGATAGAACTCTGGACATCGGCGGCAATAGTAGTATCAAGCCCGAAGATCAAGGCGCTGATATATATCGAAGCGCATACCAGAAGCCATCTGATACCTTGGATTTCTCGTTTCTGTGCTTCGCTGGTCCTGCCACTGTTCTCGACATTTTCTTGAGAAGGAGAAATAGGATGTTTGAGCCTGCTCTCTTCAATTTCGAGATCCAGAGCAGCAGTTCGTTGTACCATTTGGTCTGTCGTGTAATGATTTGGCACTCCTAGTGACGGGCTCGATAGATCCGCGGTGTTGACGGTTTCTGTGTTGTCGGGCGGATTTGCCATTCTCGGTTTGTAGATTTGTGAACCAAGGCAATTGTTGTCAAATGCTGTGGATTGTAGCAATACACTTGCGGGCGTAGTTGGAAGTAGTAATACCCAAATCGAGCAAGAGAAGGGGTAAAGAGGTGAAAAAGATATAGTTGACTGCACACTAATCGTACAATTGTGCGTCCTTCGCTGTTCGTTGTAACTGAAGAAGATACAGTTTTCATTTCGAGACTGATTAGCAAATCACTCTTACCAAAATGCTTGAATCGTTATCACTTAATTACTAAACTTCAAGCGCTACTACTAATTGATTTACAACTTATAACAGTGGAGTCTATCTTCTGTATACTACTCCTAGATTAGAGAAGATCCGCCGCCGTGCCTCTTGATGGGGTTTGAACTTGTTCAAGGGAATATATAGTACTTAAACAAATGCATATTAGGAGTTGATCATCTGCCTTTCAGGAGAACTTCAGAGTGTCTCTTTCGTATTTTTGTTCTCGGAAAGTATCAAGCCCAACATGCTTCTTCCTGTTGCGCCATAGTGTTCGCTCAATCAGTTTCATAGACTGACTCTACATAATGTCTATTGTGTTCTCCAAGGGTGCAATGTTTTACAAAGGGGTAGAAAAAGATGTGCAATTGGTCTCGACGATGCTGTCAAGTCCATTCCCCAATGGCGCAAGGATATAAGCTTTGACGGCATTATTCTAATTACAACCTGCGCCCTCCAAACCAACTGCGCCCTCTGAATGTACTGCGCCCTCTCAATAAATTGCTGTGTAGTTCATATTGGAAGGAATTGCTTGACTAATGATTTACAGATAGTTCTTAGTGCAATATTACAAATCAGACTACGAAAGGAGGTAGCTCATCTCGGGAATAGTTACGTCTCCCAATTATCACTGCTTAGACTTTACTGACAACTTCGGATCACGTTGGGCCAATGCCTGCCGAATGTTATGCCTTAGCCTTGCCGAAGCAGGTTATAATCAGGGATTTCCAATTTGTCCATTGTGTTCAAATGTATCTACTTTGACAGGCCGAGGCACGAATCTTTAACGAGTAGCAAGATGGTTGGCAAAGTCCCTATTGCCAAGGCATTCAAAGCGCTAGAGAGTGCTTCTACAGCATCCTACTTGCGGCCACAGCTTGATTGCTGCCTCGTCCGTTGCCACATCCATTGGCTTGGCTAGAGCACTCAAAGGCCTAGCTGTCGAGGGCCGTGTGCGCATTCTAGGTACACCAGCTGAAGAAGGAATTTGCGGCAAGATTAAGCTGCTTCAAGCTGGGGCTTTTGCGGATGATGTCGCGGCTGCCATGATGCTTCGCCCACTTGCGAGTCATTCTTCGCCGCAAGGCATCATGGGAAATCGCGGGTTCCAAACTAATCACTAATGTGAGACTGCAGGTGGATTTCCATGGACAGTCTGCTCACGCTGGTGCGGCGCCATGGAATCGCCTCAATGCTCTGGACGCGGCGGTGGCGACTTATGTAAGTGTCTCAACGCTGAGGCAGTATGCTGCGGCAGTATATTCCCTCAGACGAGCGCATCAACGTCATCATAGCGGACGGTGGAAGAGCAGTCAACATCATGCTAGCAAAGCTAATAATGGTATTCGCCGTGCGAGTCCCAGCTTGAAACCAAACAAAAGTGGCTGGTGCAGCGAGTGAGGAACTGCTTTGAGGCGGCTGCTACAGTCACTGGTTGCATGGCTACGTACACAGAGTAAGAAAACACACAACAATATCGTTGTTGTGTTATATTAAGAAAGTCCAAGTTCAAGCTAACACTGCCTACTTATACATAGACTGGTGGCATACAAAAATTTCCGAATCAACGACACTCTCAGTAATGAGTTAGCAAATGCCATGGCGGCAATGGGCACCAAGTTTATCGCCCGGAGTGATAAGCCCTTCACAGCTTTGACAGATATGGGCAACGTGTGATATGCTGTTCCCAGCTTTCACGGCGGCTTCGGCATTGAGGGACGAGACAACGCAACGCTACATCAGAAGCCCTTTGCTGAAGCAGCAGCCTCACCGGAATCATTTGACATAGCAATGCATTGTGCCAAGGGTTTGGCACTTTTAAGGCGGAGAGTTCTTCGCGACGATGGCGCCGCCACAAAGGCGATGAGAGATCTCAACGAGAAGGAATAACTGCGACACCAGGAATCAGAACCGGTGGTCTCACACAGTCGTTTCTCTATTGAATCTAGAAGGAATAGTTCAATTACCTAGCATCCAATGTCTAAAACTGTGCGAATTACAATCATGTCTTGGGCTCTCTATATCTGCGATAATGTCTTACGCCAGCCTGAAGTGACACGTAGTTTTCATATCAGAAGCAACTACAAATCTCTAGCGACAGAATTTTAAGGGCTTGTGCTTTGAATTCTTACCAGATTTTTTGGGAAAAAAATTTATAGTTTTTTACGTTAAATTCAGTACACGATCAATTTCTCTTCCTCTGCTCCTTTCACTCTTGGCGTAAGCTGAGCGATAGGAGTATTTGTGCTTTACGGAGTTTAGTGGGTTAAAGAATTTAGCCAATATTGCCATACACAAAGTGTAGGATTGGGTAATCAGCCCCTAAAACTGGAGGCAGGAGTAGCAATGACTCTAGAAATGCATCAATCGAAACCTGAGAGCATTTGGAATAGTCGAAAGATGCTACAGTATTCATGTGGTGGTTTCATTCTAGTACACAAACCTTTCTCCATTGGCGCTTACGAATTATTTCAATTTCAATGGGTAACGTAATACTCTACACTTTGTTCTTACTCAGCTCCATGCCTCGGTCTTCAAAAAGTCTTTATACATTCATTGCAGTGACTCGTGATGTTTACTGTGCAATATCTACATCGCGAGAGGAGAGATGAGTAAACAAAAAATCCCTGTTTACTGATCACAAATGTTGACTAATCGTGAATCGTTACTGCGAAAGCCTCATGAGTAGTAAGAATTACAAGAATTTTAGGAGAATACGTATAATGCGCTATAAAATTTAGGGCATGGTTTAGGTATATATAGGTAGCTATGCCTCCCTGAGAGTTGCCAGCCAAGGCTTCCATCCCATTTTCTTTTTACTTGATATAGCATTAGTTACATACGATAAGACCAACGTTCGATCGAGGAAATTTACCATGTCAAGTTCCAAGGCTCCAATTTTGGTAACAGGGGCGGCTGGAAGAGTTGGTGGAGTTGGAGGGCGTGTGGTTGAACTGCTACGAAAAGCCAACCTACCGGTGCGCGCACTCGTACGTCAAGAAGATGAGAGAGCGGACCGATTGCGCTCTCTGGGGGCAGAAGTTGTTGTGGCAGATCTCCGAAAACCAGAACAAGTTCTCCCTATTCTCCAGGGGTGCCAAAAGATTTTTTTCTGTGTGTCTGTCTCTGCCGATTACCTCGAGGCGACAATGGTAATGGCTGCAGCTGCAAGGGCCACATCAGGCATTGAAATCATTGTCAACTTGTCTCAGATGACAGTGGCCGAGATGGACTTGACTCATACAACGGATTCCCCCCAGCATAAATTGCAATGGCTGAGCGAGCAGGCACTCAACTGGTCCGGCGTGCCAGTAACTCATCTTCGACCAACCGCATTCCAAGAAAATGCACTTTTCTTGCAAATGCCGGCCAAGGGCATTAAGCAGTCAGGCACAATTCGACTACCTTTTGGGAAGGGCCGCGTTTCCCCAGTCGCTACTCGAGACGTAGCAGAGTGTGCGGTTCAAATTCTTTTACACGCTCAAGATTATGTTGGCAAGACCGTGGAATTGACTGGACCAAACTCAGTCGACATGTTTGAGTTGGCGAAAGAATATGCATCTGCTATTGGGATTCCAGTGCATTACGAACCAATACCTTTCAAAGTATGGAGCGAGCAAGTGTCCCAAATTGGATGGCCTGCGCATGTAGAAAATCACATTTCTACTATGGTCAAACTTGTAGAAGCAGGGCGGTACGACAGGTATACGGATTCAGTTCAAACGATCCTTGGTCGACAAGCCACACCTATTTCGTCAATGATCAAGCAGAATCTCGATATTTTCAAGCCGCAGTAACGGCAAGATATTTCGTCGATCTTGAAGCATCTCAAGTGGACATAGTATAGCTTTGTTGAATAAATATAAGATGATTGCACAGTTTACTCAAGAAGTGGGGATATGACTGCCATAATTTCCTAATGTTGTGTTGCGCCAAGACCCGCAGCCTCAGGATCATGGGAAACTCGGAAAGCCAGCGCCAGCTATGAACATCGTCTGGCTTCTAATCTCTAAGCATTGCATGGTACCTGCACCACTGAAAGAGAATCTAAGCATTTAAAATGGATTGAAGTAATTAACTAACTGGAGTACATTCTCAATTCGTGTATTTTGTAATACAGTCTATACATATTAAAAACATACCGGTCACTGATGAGTTGGAAGCTAAATCAAAATACCTAACAGGGACTTGGTAGCTAAGCAGAGTTCTTGTTAGATGGGCCGGCAACGTCTGGATAACATTGGTATCTGTTATCCGTACGAACTGACCCAATACAATCCCAACAAGTCAGGATATTATCAGGGTCAATCGCATTTTTAATCGCCTTGAGCTTGTTGTAGTTCTCCTTGCCCCAATAAGCTCCTACTGGGTCTGTCTCAAAGACATCTGCTTCATTCTGGTAAGCTCCGCTATCTGGTGCGAGAGCACGCAGCTTGTCACCAGCGGCATGGACGGCTGAAAAGGCCGTTGAAATGGTCTCTTTGTCGGCCTGTGATGCAAAATTTTGAATCATAATAGCATGCCAGGTAGACTTCCTCCAGGCAGGGGTGACTGAGCTGTCTGCGAAGCTTTCTCCTGGCGACACGGGCTTGTAGCCATACGGAGCCGTCATGAGAATCTGCACGGGTGCCGTATAGTTTACGCTCAGCGGGTCTGTCTGCGAGGCACTGGTCGGGAATGTCAGGTCATTCGATATTTGTGCAAGGGCGGCAGCGACGGCCTTTTGCCCTGCCGATTCGGCGAGCAGATCACTGGGAATCAATCTGCTAGCCAGTGCGACGCCGATACCCGCGCTCTCCAGAATCGGGACCAGTTTGGCTTGATATGCTTGCCAGATGGTAGGGAAGCTGGTGATGTCGGACTCTATCACCTGAGCGCTGTTGTTTGAAGACGCGACAAAGCCAAACAGCGGCTGCATAGAAGCTTTGGCATCGTCAAGAGATAGTGCCATGTTGTACACCTGGAATCCGATGACGTTACGGCCACCGCCGCCGGCAAAGATGCTTCCGCCCCAACCTTCAGAAGCCCATTTGTTGGCATTTTGTGTAGCGAGGTCAAAGAAGGCATTATATGCGCTGATGCTTGCCGCAGCAAAGAGGACGTTTACGACCTGTATTTTCACCTTGTCGTTAACCAGCTGCTATACTTAATCCCATGAGAGAGCAGGCAGAAGCCATGTGAGCGAATGGCAATGGGAAAGAATGTAAATACCTGAACTTCGCGTGTATCCCAAGCTCTGCTGGTGACCTCCCATACTACACCAAAGGCACTTCCTCCCCCTCCTCTAAGAGCAAAGAAAAGATCTTGGTTATGGCATCGACTGGCGGTCACATACGTGCCATTTGGCAGCATAACTTTCATCTCAAGAACGTTGTCAACACCCAGGCCAAACTTCGGAGAGAGGAAGCCATGTCCTCAGCCCAAAATCCATCCACCTGCGGCGCCGACTGTGAGATCTGAGCCACCGACCAGAAAGATGTCGTTTGCTTCGGCGAACTTATACAGTCCTTCCCATTGCTGGCCCGCTCCGTATGTTACGGCCTTGCCTGCACCAACGTGACAACCAGCGGGAGTGAAGTTGGCAGAGAGCTCGATCTCTGGCTGGACGTTGTGAGTCCATAGTGCAAGCGTACCAGGCCCCGAGCTACGCCCTTTGTAATCATGGCCTGTGTTCTTGACAATAAGAGGCACACGATGCTTCCTGGCAAATGAAAGACCAGCTTGAACGTGAGACACGTCGCTCACATTGATATAGTAGTTGGAGACGCTGCCTTGAAAACAGACGGAAGAAGACGGGACAGACTGTATAGGATCGCTAAAGTTCAGACCGCACCCCTGACCGGTGGCTTGGCATGTTGCCCAGTTTGTCTGTGTCTGTTAGCTTGCGATGTTAAATAGCAGCCGGGTGCACAATACGCACGTTTAAGTAGCCACCAAGCTGGTTTGCATGAAAATGCGAGTCCAAATAGCTCGCTTTGATGATCGAACAAGCTGCCTTGTCACTAAATGCAAACTCCCCAGAGGAGTTGTGGTACGTGGAATAGCATGGTTCAGCCAATGGTTTAGCGGCGTGTAGTCTCCCGCCCACAGTGGCATTGAGTGTTTTCCAGTCTGCCATTGGAACGCTTGGTCCATCACATTCGCGTGGGCTTGCAGTAATATGATATCCTGTTACACCATTTCCAGCTATCAGCAGTGCGCTGAGAGAGGAGGATGTAACTAAGTACATAGTAGCAATTCAAGAGATGGGATAGAAGTTAACAAAATTTAGTAGAGCGTCCTGAAACTGAATGTATGTGTAGAGAAGAAGAAAACAAATAACGAACAACACCAGCCTTATTTATACAACTCGTTCCCAGTTAATAAAGTCTTGTATACCTATTATTAGTCTCCGGGTAATCAAGCTAGCAAAGCCTCGCTTGTCCCCCTTTAGAGTTGAGGCTATGCGCTTGGTTATCGGGTGATTTAAAGCTAGGTATTTGGGCAGAATGCTAGACAATTTAAAGGACTGACAAGCGTGGATTACAATTTCTAAACCAGAAATTGTGTATACGACTATAACAATACGTTCACAATTTACAGCATCAACAATGATAACTTGGAGAATGCATATAAGTCTCATGTAAATTGAAATGATAAGTACTACTTCAAAGAGTTTAATAAGGATTATAGGTAGCCTATACACGAAATGCGGAAGCAGTGGTGAGCAAGGGCCAATATAAAACCAGGGAGTTGCTCAAGTGAGAATTCGGCTATCGCAGCAAAGCTCAAAAAGGAAGTGCACTACGAGCCGGCTTGTCATTGGCTGACGAGCCCAAAGGATGAAGTCTAACTTGGAAGGCTGGGGCGAGTTAAGCCTCTGGCCCCGCTTCCTGGAACTACCGGGACTGGGATATGGCTTAGGCAGTGCTTCAGGGTCTCTAAGGAGGTAACTAGTTGTCTCAGTTAAGCTTATTTGTCCATGCCCAATACCAAGTTCAAAACCTGTCGAAGTACTTGTCAGCCCACTCAAATATCTAAGCCTCATCTCCACGACTCAAATACCGTGGTGAGTTTCCTTCTCTGTCGACAACTCTTCACAACAGCAAGCCAAAATGCCCAAGATCAAGCCATCCAAGTCACGCTTCAATAAAACATTCACTGCCTGCTGGACTTGCCGAGCCCGCAGTGTCCGCTGCGACCAGGCAACGCCGCACTGTGAGCACTGCAAGCGAAGGGGACTCGTCTGCGAGGGCTACCACATCCGGCTTGTTTGGGTCGATAAGGATACCGGGTCCTACGAGCCTATGCAGAGACGAGGGTACGCCTGTGAACTTACTTGGAAGGGCTATCCAGCGTGGACGCTCAAGGAAGTTGGACATCTCATCGAGACGTGTGACCAGAGGCCTGAATCTTGCCGATGCAGAGTACATCACCACACAATTACCAGTCCTTTCCAAGCATTTTCCCAGGAAGAGTCAAGCCCAGAGGCGAGAGGCTTCAGCTGTGAACATCTGAACGAACCCGAGAGTGGTTTCGTCGCCAGTAATCCGAGCGACAATGGCCATGACGAAGCGATGCTGCAGCTGACATATCCCGAGTTGGATATTGAACCACTGGAACCCGCGGACGAACAAATGCGGCACTTGGACCAACTCGAGATTCTGCTAAACCGAATATCTGCGACTGAGCACCTTCGGCTCCCGCCGTATCAGCCACTCATACCAACAGCCACACACTATGAAAACTATCTTTTCCATCATTACCTCCTTATATCCAGCGCAATGTTACCTGTCGACGCAAAGGACTCCACCAACCCATGGCGGTCTGTGTATCCGTTGATGGCAGCCCAAAATACAACATCAGGCCGGTCTCTTTATCATGCCATGCTGGCACAGTCCGCACATCATTTAGGGAAGCTGAAGGGCGAGGAAAATGGGCAGCAAGACAAGGTCAAAGCCATATACTGCTTCGGCATGGCGCTTCGCGAGCTGCAGCAGGCTTTGGAGGAGCCGACACAAGACTACAGCAGCGTTCTGGCTGCCATTCTCACCATCACAAGCACCGAACACGTCTTCCGAAGTAGCTCCCAGGGCTGGCGAGAGCACTTTCGAGCGGCCACGGGCTTCGTAATGCGCCACGTTGCTAGGAGGCCATGGAAGCTCACTCACGAGGCGTGGGCTGTTACACAGAGCTTCGTTCTGTCGCACGTCATCGCCCACACGGCCCACAAGCCCTATACCCTCGCAATTTCTCAAAGCCACGAAGAGAACGACAACTCTGAGGACGTGTACGACGTTCTCTGTGACACCACCGCCAACTCGAGCTTCGGCTACACGATCGGTGGCACGGGACGTCTCATCACGGCACTGTATCACGTCCGTAGGCTCGAGGCTCAGATAGCCGCGGAGGCCGGCACTACCACCAATGCTACTGATGCTCACGCCACGAATCTTTCACTGGTCGAAGAGGCAGTCGCAATACTGAATGACCTTCAAAACCCCCCCGATGATGGGCTCGATGCGTATCTCGACTCAGCTGGCACTGTTCGTATGCCCCTAGACCGCGCACGCACACTAGCCAGCCTCCACATCAACCTGTTCCGAAATGCTGTCGGCATCTACCTGCTCAGTACCGTGCTGCGGTTCCCGCCATCGACCGTTGCTGGATACGTAATAGACGTGCTCTCGGACGCGTGGCTTTTCGTGAACATGTCCCCCCACGGCACCACATACTGCTCCCTTTCGTTGTGGCCGCTATTCGTGGCTGCCGTCGATGCTTACTTGCCCGAGGCGCAGGACATAGCAGAGCGCATACTGGAACTGGTCGCGAAGACCAGCGGTGTCAAAAACCGCTGCGATGTAAAGTGTTTGGTGCATAAAGTCTGGGCCATGCGTATAGACCTGGCCCAGGAATCCAACTGCGGCCCAGGCGATGTCTGGATCGACTGGCGAGATGTCATGACTCAGATGGACATGGATATCCTGTTTCTATAAGTAAGTCGTTACAGATTGTATGTTATCATAGTCGCTGTATTGCACGGGGGGGGGGCTGCTTTTACAATGCAAATAGGAGAGTATGTTTTTCTTGTGGTGTATTCTAATTGCTAGTGTCTCAGTAACAAAATGCCAACTTCGGAACGAGACAAAACTCACAGGAGCCAAACAGTAGATCACAAAGACTATTCAGAACGTAGAGTGAAGCAGTAACTTGGCAGTAACAAGGCCAGAATGTCCAACCTGAACATTACAATCGCTCTACCAAGTATCATCCTTGGCCTGAGAACACTAATAGCGAACAGGTATCTCCTCAAGACCCTGAACTTCGCCGCTGGTGTACAAGGCTCCATGAATTTCTTTTGTTGTTCCTAGGTCGCTGTTGGCACTCCCCGCCTCTTGAGATGATGAAGGTAGTATGCCACCACGTCAGTCACTTGCTTCTCATAGCCCAGATATCGAAATCCAAGCGTCCGCTCTGATTCAGATGCATCAACTGGTAGCCTGAAAGTCGAAACTGTGCCATCGTTCGCCAACGCCTTCCCAACATCGTCTGGGAAGTTCCTACGAACAATTTCGAACAAGTCCTCGACCTTTGCCACTCACACCGCCGCTATGCAGCAGATACAGGCGATTTGTTGGCATTTCTGGTCTCAAGGCGGCAATGTGTGCATTGGCGACGTCATCCAAGTGTATGGTCGTCGACGCTGATGGATCGTGGTGCCCGCCCACGACGGGTGTAAGGAGGATTCGATTCGTGCCCATCTGTAACATGTCATCCGGGTCGGTAACTAGCTCATTGGGCCCGTAAACATCTCCTGGCAGAATGTGCGTGACTCCAAAACTGGGTTGCTGCTCCTTCATCCATGCTTTCGCCGCGTTCAAAGCCAGCGCCTTGGCAGCACAATAAGCCTGCACAGAGGTGCTGTAAGGCGGCCGCGGGATCCGGAATGTGCGAGAATGCTCGTTGAGCACAGTACGCGTGGCTTCCTCTATGTTGGTGGTGTCTACAATGGCGGCAAGAGACGACGTAATCACAACGCGACGAATGCCGGCGTGTCTGCTGGCCGATCTCAGCAAGTTGAGAGTTCCCTGTACTGAAGGACCAATGAAGTGGGCCTCTAGATCGTCTCCGATGCCGACCGTTGATGTGATAGGGGCGGCTACATGGACGACAAAAGTCACTCCCTCGAGGACCTCGTCTAAGGCCCCTTCTGCGGTCAGATCTGGAATCTCAACAAAGTTAAGACGCGGTCCAGGATTCAAGGCTTTAATCGGCTGCGAGGCAAGAATGGCTTCAGACTTTGTCAGACTTCGTACTGCAGCACGCACTGAGTATTCAGCTTGAAGCGCTAGTATAAAGACTCGGAAACCAACATGCCCCGTGGCACCAGTAAGGAAGATGGTCTCCATTGTTCCTCGACAGTGGCGAAGTCAAATGACAGGAGAGAACCAGGCGGAGTGCTTGGGGGCTTGTTAAAGATCCTGGAATAAGTTTTACGGCTTGAGGTCGTGACTAGGAGCTTGGTTATATTTGTAAATCTACGGGTGCGCAAGAATGTACTGCCAAGATGGCGCAATAATATTGTTGTTGACTAGGCACTCGCGAAGTCAAGGGAAATGAAGTGGCTGACTAGTGTATGGTGGAACGCAAATATTGGTTCAGGATAACCCTTTTCAGAGCAAGTCGAAATAGACAAAAAGGTATCAACAAATGAAGCTGGCTAACAACACACTAGCGAAACATTTGGGTCGTGCTCGATTGCCTGTTTTGACGGATCTGCCCGGCATCTCTGCTGTGTTATCGTCTTTCATCCGGCACCTGATCTTGCCAAGGACGGCTGACGACGATCTAATGGGCCGATCGGGTTTGGAGCATTGAGGCGACGCTTGCTTTCGTAGTCGGTTTCCAGATTGACTGCGAATATTGACTGTGTTGTGTGTCTACGTCCTCATAGAGGCTTGATTGACTGGAAATTGTCATTCGTAGCACCTGGCGCACCCTTGACTTACCCGGGCGGAATTTCTTAGTAGACAGTTGTAGGTATGTAGTATAGCGCTATGTCTAGTCTCGTTTAGCACTGATTTTAAACTTACCCTAAATTACGCTGAATGTGGAATATTGTATTATATTATATGCTAAACTATATGTCCCAATCATAACTATATATTCTTCACTAGGTATAACGACTTAGTATTACACTGCCGTGGGCAGAGAGTTTGGACATATTGTAGAGTACAACGAACAGTTCAAATTTGAATTTCGGGACTCGTTGAGGTGGTTGACTTCCAATCTAAGTTTCTGCGACTTATATAACACCATGTAGTGCAAAATGGACTCGTCAATTCAAACAACGTACACACAGTATCATAAGAGGCCAGAATATAACGCGATAAAATGTATCAAATCACTACGCATGAACTGATTGATGATGCACAAGATGGTAATAAACTCAATGCAGCTGCTGATGGAATAGTCTTCATTTTTCAGCTCACTCCAGGAGTTAGGTAAGCAATGTTCAGTTATTAGGTACGGTACTCAGGCAGGTAGGTACCTTTATTCCTTAAACTCCACGTTTATCGATGTGATCAACTCCTCTTATTGGCAAAACCCTCGCCAACCGTACTGCAACCTTGCACAAAATGCCTCAACAATATGTATTCTCAGATCTGAAAGAGCCCACAAACTTCCGTCTCATGACAATTTTTCCTGGCAATTTCGAAGAAGCCTTACAGTGCACCATTTCAGAATGTCAACTGCAAACCTCTTTACCCTACGAAGCGCTTTCGTATGCGTGGGGCGCCACTGAAGCACTGGATGAATGTCATCCTATCATATCTTTAAACAAAGAAGAATTTACCATCTCCTCTACACTAGAACAGGCGCTGCGCAGATTGCGGAGACTAGATACGGCACGGGTCATGTGGATCGATAGAGTCTGCATTGACCAAGATAACATTGATGAGCGCAATAGACAAGTAGCTATGATGCCCGATATATATCGTGGCGCTGTGAGAGTAATAGCATGGGTTGGAGAAAAGTCATGCGACAGCGACCGTGCCTTATCATTTCTAAAAGAGATGGTTATGCATCATAAATACACTATGCGGCATTGGTGGATTGATGGTGCCAGATTAGGCAGCGATACGAGTTCCGAGTGCGGTGAAGGAAAACGGGCTGATTATACCAACGAATCAGACGATGTTAGCTCTAGTAGTTTCGCAGACGACATCACGCAGCCTAGACTGCCCAGGTTTGACGAACAAGAAACGAGTGAGATGAAAGGCATGAGCCGGAGTGACCTCTGGAAACAGATCACGCTCAACCAAAGGCAACGAGGGCACATCTTTACGGGCTGTCCAGTACTATACGACTCCTCATACATCCCATTCTTCAAGAACTCTCGACAGCTAGACTGGGAAGCCGTTGACCATCTACTCGCAAGGCTATGGTGGTCGCGCACCTGGGTTGTGCAGGAGGTCTGGCTGGCAAAAGACGCTATACTCCTATGTGGTGACTCTTCTCTTAAGTGGAAAACGTTTAAAAAGGCTATGGAATACCAAGAGGGATGGGACGATATGGGCTGTTTGGTCCCGAGGCACCAAGAGGTGGGAAATATGGTCCACACTAAAGAACCGATATGGGCTGGCGATACATATTTCCCAGAAGAGGCTATTGGGTAGCAGGCTCTCTGATATCCTATGGAACACTTGGGACAGGGATGCTACAGACCCGAGAGATAAAGTATTTGCGATTTTAGGACTGGTCGGCGAGTACTATCGCGCTCCTTTACCGAATATCGACTATTCCAAGTCTACCGAGGAAGTATACCAAGAAATCGCCTCTCTCATTATCACCGAGGAAAACTCTCTGGACATTCTGCTTGCCGCATCCGGCTTGACTGGTGGAGCAAATCTGCCCTCTTGGGTTCCAGACTGGAGACGAAGCGCAAACGAATGTCGGCCAGCCCTTTTCGTCAATGCCTCGTTTATGCGGATGCAATGTTATCACTCTGGCTCGACGGATGCTGTATATTTCCATGGCCACGGATATTCTGCATCAGGAGCCATGGAACCGCATGTGATATTTCATGATAACCTCAGAATTTTACAGGTCCGTGCCGTAGTGTTCGACACCATAGCTGAGGTGTCGACGGACTTTGACAATGTTTTGAGTGCGGCCAATATTGTTGAGCACGCAGAAAGTCTCATACGTAACTCGCAAACTAGCGGGTCTTTATCATCAAAGAGTGCGATTAGTGACAAAGATTTGAAGAAAGTCCTCACTGCAGGGTGCTTTATTGACAACAGAAGTTTGCGAACCGAGAACATGGTAATCGAGAATGTTATGAGATCAAGGCGGTTTTTCATCACGAATGGCGACCATCTCTCCATTGGGCCGTCCAAATTGCAGATTGGAGATGTCATTTCCATTATCGCTGGCTGCAACTTTCCAATGGTTCTCCGCGCTGTCGGCAGCTACTTCAAATTGGTCGGAGAGGCTTATAGTAAGATATACATCAATAGTTCTTGATGGCTACCGTGTACTAACATAATGAGAAGTTCAAAACCATATGACAGGAGAGATTTTGGAGTGTTATCCGGTTGAGTCGGCGCACTGGATCGATATCTGTATAACATGAGGTAGATCAGAGTGAAATACCCGAAAATAAATAACACTGCACTCAGCGTGAATGAGCATACAAGTTTTCTTGCCTCTTAAGCTTAACGGGACGAAGCTAGTATTCCGTGTAGTACTCTGCTATTCTCTACAGGCAACCTTCTCCGGAACAACTCCAAGCTTTTCGCTCCTACTGAATACGGGATAATCTGCGGAAGCTGCATGAATTGAAGCTGCATGAATTGAAGCTGCATCTACAGATAACTTTGAGTGCTTGGGACTTTATCCGACGCCGCTTTCTGTCAACATTTTCTGTCCTCTACCTACTAAGTAGATGCGGGCCTATTGACTACTTTTGAATAACGCTTACGATAACATTACCGTAACCATTATAGGAAAATTAATCCGCTCCGCCCCTTAAGAGACATGCCCCATATCATAAACAAGGGGGAATGTGACAGACACGGATGCTTATGCTTAGTCAATTTCCGTATATGGCAATCTGCGGGTTCAGTATTCACTACGAAGATGAAAATGCTCCCCATACCTGACTAAGAGGGTGTCCCTTCTTGGTGAATTAGGGAAGAATGCCGTCATTGCCTTTTATGCCTGCGGTTGTAGCGGCGTGATAGCCGAGCGGCATGTGGAATTAGAGTTGTAAGGGAAGAGCCAGAGCTTAGTTAAATATGCTGCCCACTTGCAATGATACTCGTATTCAGCTTCAGTTAAGAGCAGCTTTAACAGAGCTCGATGCTCCAACAATAGAAGCGTCTGTTCTCTCAGCAACGCCGGTCTTACTTTGCAATCATATACCTTTCCGTGTGTGGATTTACAAATCACAGTTGAATTGTTTCTCTAATATCCATTCGTATATTCCCCGACTCGCGAATTCTTCCCACCGCGTGCGAGTTCAACCACATAGCGCGATGGCGCCTTCAAATTCCGACTCATCCTCTACTCCAAGCATATGGAAACAGACAGCGGGCACGACAACGCCTGATTCAGGCCTGTCTGAGGCAAAGCTTGATCGCCAATTAAGCCATGTAGCAGTCAAAAAGGGCCAAGGACAGCAGTTCTCATCTACTGAAAGCCAAGAGGCGCCAGAGCCCATTGATCCCAAAGACATGACATCTACCCACGATAATGTGCGAAAGATCACTGGCTTCAGATGGTTCCTGTTGTGCACAGCCATTTATGCCACAGCTCTCTTGTATGGGCTTGACACCACCATCGCGGCCGACGTTCAGAGCGCCGTTATTGAATCATTCGACAACATCTCACAGCTGGCGTGGCTTGGTGCCGGATTTACCCTGGGCTCTGTGGCTGTGATCTTGCCCTACGGTGCGCTTTATAGCAAATTCTCCTTGAAATACTTATACATCGGAGGCATAATCCTTTTCGAGATTGGATCCACGCTCTGTGGCGCTGCACCTTCAATGAGCGCTCTTATTGTCGGACGTGTCATTGCTGGAATGGGCGGCACAGGATTATATCTCGGCGTTTTGAACAACCTCACCGCATTTACCACTCGCGAAGAGAGAGGAGCTTACATCAACGGCGTTGGATTCGTATGGGGTATTGGCGCCTGTTTAGGGCCCGTCGTTGGTGGCGCCTTTTCCGATTCAAAGGCCACATGGCGATGGGGTTTCTACATCAACCTCGTCATCGGAGCAATCACTGGCCCCGTCTATATCTTTAACCTCCCCAACGTACGCCCCGTCCGCGGAGTTTCAGTGTGGGATCGTATAAAGGCCATCGATTATGTGGGAGATGTGCTCAGCGCTGCCATATGGGTTTCGTTCTCGCTCGCCTTTGTATTTGCTGGCGGCGCCTGGAACTGGAATGATGGCCGTACCATTGCTACTATTGTAATTCTTGGAGTGCTCACGGTTGCATATGCCGTACAACAGTACTATTGCATCTTCACAACTCCCGAGACACGGTCATTCCCGATACATCTTCTCAAGTCCCGAACCCAGGTTCTGACCGCCGTTTGCTCCGCAGCGTCGTATTCAGCGCTTTATATCCCGGTTTATTTCATCCCAATCTATTTTCAGTTCGTCCAAAATGATACCGCTTTGAAAGCAGCAGTACGCCTTCTTCCTTATCTTCTCGTGGCTGTGGCTTTCAACCTCGGCAGCGGCTATCTGCTCTCCAAAGTCAAATACTATATGCCTATCTATCTGATATCGGGTATACTTATCACGATAGGTGGATCGACTCTCTATGTATACCTGACGCCTGAAACCTCAACAGCCACGATTTACGGTCTGGACGTTATACTTGCCGTGGGTGTCGGATTGACAATGCAGATTGGGTATGCGGTAGCTACATTGAAGGTCGAACCAGATGATGTCCCCAATTCGCTCACCATGCAGAATGTGAGCCAAATGGGCGGTACAACCATTGCCCTTATCATCTCTGTTCTCGTCTTTGAGACTGCTGCAGTACGTAATGTGAGCTCAGTTTTGTCTGGTCAAGGATTCTCGAAAGAGCAGATCCAGGCTGCCGTTGCTGGAGCTCAGAGTGCGCTATTCGAACAGCTAAGTGATGACACAAAGACACTTGTTATTGCGGAGATTACAAAGGCCATGCAAGCTCCATTCATTCTAGTTATTGTTTCAGGCGCTGTACTTTTGGTTTCTGTTCCATTCATGAAGATGGAGAAACTCTTCGGAGAAATCATTGCTGTCGGTGCATAAGCTACGGGTTCAAGCGACTACGATACCATTAATGCCCACAAGGACGCATTCAACTTATGATACTCCTAATCCTTTCTCAATTGAGAGAGGTCTGTTGCGAAGGTATGGAAAGGCGGTGGTTTGCGAGATGAAGTCCTCTGTTGTTGAACACAAGGGTAATTGAAAAGTGGCTAAGGATAGTTAAAGATAAGATTGTGAGTTTAGTATCGCTTTTCCTTTAAAATAATATAAAATAAACGTAATTACAGATGTTCTCTTTTCCTTTTACTAGTGTTAAATAGAAATGCTCGGCTAGGCTACCTGAGTCATTGAGTCAATCCAGCGGCCAGAAATCTGTTTCTAGGCTGCTCTGTAGACTCTTGTCGGCGGACATTTTTTGATCGCGCTGAATGCCACGCGGAGAGGACTTATCACGTCGGCTTTAAGAACATATAACGCAATCAATGGCAGCCCCGATACTACCTACCATATATCGGGCATATGCTTACTACTTTGCCTTCGTGTACGGAATCAAGTGTAAAGTGAATAAACCTTTACCTGTAGGTTTCAGTTAATAAGCCGCTGTCCAGAATACGCCCATTAATAGCGTATTCGGCATCTCGCGTCTATAACTCCGCCCTCGCTTCGCAAGCACCGAATTAGGAAATCAATCTCTGATTGGCTGTGTGATAGCTCCAGCGATCCAACTATACCGAATTAGGCACCAAGTCTCTGATTGGCTGGGAGCTCAAAGCCTTGACGGCGGAGATGAGGATGGCTTCAGTATACAATGAACATTATCTGGCGGAGTTTGTGTGTGTTACCATTTTCTTCTAGCCTTGGCATCGAGTCTTTCAGTTGCTGTTAACACCGAAGTCGAAAGTCAACGATGTTATTAGTATGTACCCAATCTGGCTCAACAGAGTATAAATATTCGGCCTCTGCTTAGCAGTTTTCACTCTTCACTCAAGCTACAAAATCTATACACTTATCAATCTTGATTCATTCTCTTATCTCTTAGATTCCCAAACTTTCGATATCCTCTTAAAATGACTACATCGCACCCAGAGTTCAATAGAGACACAGAGGGCCTTGACGTTGCCAAGGCTTTTCCGGATGGAATTCGCAATAAGACCATCTTAGTTACTGGAGTGAACCGTGGTGGAGTTGGATTTTCTACATCACAGGCTTTTGTAAGTAATCGTGTCCTTGTAAGTTCTTAGACTGCATGTACTAATCGACAAATCACATAGGCCTCTCAGTCCCCTGCCTGCCTGATCGTTGCCGGGCGGAATTTGAACAAGATCCAGGAGTGCATCGATGCCTTGAAGAAGGATTTTCCTGATGTCGGCTACCGTGCTCTAAAGATTGATCTTTCCAGCCAGAATTCGGTTCGTGCTGCAGCTGCAGAAATTTTGGCCTGGTCTGACGTGCCTACGATTGATATCGTGGTGAATAACGCCGGCGTGATGTGTGTTCCAGAACGAACACTCAGCGTCGACGGATTGGAGATGCACTTTGCGACGAATCACATTGGACATTGGCTCTTGGCGTGCCTGATTATGCCAAAGCTGATTAAATCTGCAGAGGGCAAGCCCAAGGGGACCACGCGGATTGTCAATGTCTCCTCTCTATCGCCTACCATTGCAACCATGCGTTGGAGTGACATCAATTTCGACAAGCCAAACAAAGAGCTGCCGGAAGCAGAACAGCCGCCGTATGCGATGCTAGAGGCTTGGGGCTTTGCAGACTGTCGAGACCGATCTTACATTCCCTTGGACGGCTACAACCGCAGTAAAGTAGCCAATGTGCTCTTTGGTATCGGAGCAACCAAGAGACTGTACGAGAAATACGGCATTTTCTCTTTGGCTGTGCATCCAGGCATCATAGAAACAGAACTCGGCAGGGACTTTAACGAGGAACAATTAGCAGCCTTGGCAGGTATGAGGACCAAAGGCATTTTTACCCATCAAACCCTCGGCGCAGGAGCTTCAACCTCGTTGGTGGCCGCACTGGACCCGAAATTGAAACCCGGTGAAACCGTCAATGGGAGGGAGAATCACGGATCGTTTCTAGTGGACTGTCAGATAAGTGATTCGGCAATGCCCCTTGCTGTTGCAAGCAGCGAGGCCGAGAGACTCTGGGCGCTATCGGAAGATTTGGTAAAGGAAAAGTTTTCTTGGTAGGATCATATGCCATTATGAGCCATTGAGTTCTTAGTGTCTAGATGGTCGAAGTGGAGAGTTACTTGGTACAGTTAAAGATGAAATACACGCATTCAAAATGTTATCCAACTCGGTATTGACTCATCCTGGTGTGCTTGGTCCCATAATGCATGGCCTGGGTCATCGTGCAAGGCGTGAACCCAGGGGAAGTGGCTCATTACAACGCATACTTCATCCCAGCTGCGAATATCAAGCCTTGATGCTATTAGCCGTATTCTTGGTGGAAGCCAGTGCCCATCATAGCCATCAGACGCCCAAATACCACCAAGGATTGAGAGCCAGAGAGCGAGTTCAGGATTTTGATCTTCCAAGTCAGTGTTAAGGATTTCCTTCAGCCGGCGATCTACGCGCTCGTAGTCCACAATTTGACGACGTCCAGAATGTAGAAAGACAGTCAAATTGAATATCGTTAAGCCGATGTGATAGGAGGCTTGTAAGTGCCATAGCCTTCGTTCCCCCGAAGGATAGAACTGTACGAGGCGATACCCAAGCGATAGTATCATCTCTTGAAGAGTTTCCAGATCAATTGTTGCGCCGCTGTTGAAGAGTGACGCCACACCCATCATGTCCACCAATATTCCGTGAAGATATGGTTCTAGCAACTCATGCTGCGGACAGGATGCAGCGGCGTCGCCATCGATGTCTAGTTTGGTGAGTGCTAGAGTATCCCGTACCTTGATCATCCGATCTCGAAAGAACAGCGGCGGTCCACCATGTTGAAGCGAAAGCATTATGTCCACCCTTTCAAATTGCATGTAAGCTGGAGCTGTTACACTGGCGACAATCTTTTTATAGTATTACGTACTTGCAGACTTTCAGTAATAGCGCAGGATTTCCCTCGAGTTTAGACAGACCACCACGAAGCTGAATCATTCTCTGTAGGCCGCTGAGATGAACTTTGAGGTCTCCGTATCCCTTTCTGATCAGTTCACTGCTGATAAGGCTCACTACAATCATGATTGCAGCATCTGACAGGGCATCGGGACCAGCAAGTAGTCTCGTGACATGGTTGAACGTCTGTGACAAATGATACAATGCTTTAGGCGAGCTGTTTCCGTTGTTGCAGTACATCTCATTGCAGGTTTGCATGAGCGCAATATTGCAATAGTAAGCTACAGAGTAAGCTAAATTAGAGTGATTGCATGGTTCTGGCGTCCATGTGCAAACATACCTGCTTGATTGGCGAAAAGGATAGGGAGCCACATTCCTTTGACCTCATCCATAGAAAGCCATTGGTGAAGGCGATACAGTCTGTTCATTGTGCGGGTAAAGTCTACTATCGATCATTAGTGGTTGCTTTAAGAGGCTATAGGCCATATGAGAGCCTGACATTCATTCATTATTTCCATGGAAGGATTGGTGATTTTCACCGGCAGGCCTGTGAGGATCGCATTGCTGGGACAGACCAATATAGAGTTAAGCTTTGCATGTTCTTCGTCACTGTAGCGGTACTCTTTTCTTGACTTATCCAGATCCTGCCGCAATATAATTGTCCGCTCACTTGCTCTGAGTCTTGTCGGAGCGAGTTGCAGCCTTGATCGCCGGTGAAATCTTTTGCCGGCATTCTTGCCCTTCATTACGTGGCTCCTTACGAGCTTCTTGGCGGCTCTGTTGCTTTGAGCGCTATCGACGAAGAAAAATGATGTTCCTGGCATGGCTTATACTGTTCGATGTTGAGCACAGAAAGTTCCGTCAATTGATTCGGTCAGGCCATACCCTTACAGTGGTAGGTCGGAGTTAAGGCTGTGGAATCTCCGCAATCCGCAGCAGAGCAATTCAAGGGTCTTCCCACCCCTTATTCTGACTAAGAGATGATTTTATTACTTTAATAGCCATTATCCTTTATTATAACCTTACTTATAAGAATATATGCAAAGTGTTTCTTGGCGGCTTATTGCCTAAATATGCTTCTTACTGGGAAGGCCTTGGCAAACATCGGCACACGCTAGCCAAACTCGGTGACAACAATAGCAATTCTCAGCTTAACCATAATTTAGAAAACATATCCTTTTTCTTCCTATTTGATCTTCTATGCTGTTTGCACTTTCTCCAACTCGGTCTCTGCCAAAAGATCATAAGTCTTAAAGTCTCGCAAGGGAACCTTTCTATGGAACAAAATGTCAAGTTCCTCGAAAGTTCTTCCTTTACTTTCGGGAAGTCTAAAATGACACCAGATGGCACAGAAAAAGCTTATGCCCCCAAATAAGAATCCTGCTTTTCCACCCCAGTTTGCTTGATCGGTATTCAGCATATAAGGCATGGCAATTGTGCTGATGATATTGAAGAAGGATTGCACGGCGGTGGATAACGCAATGGACTTCGTTCGCAAACGCGTAGAAGATATTTCGGAAATAATGACGAAGCAGATTGGTCCGACTGTCATTTGGTAGATAAATGTCCACCTACATTGGTAAAACCATGAGTTAGCACCGAGATTCCCAAAAGCAAGAGGGAAAGGGGCCAGATTTCGGCTTACACGTCCATGCAGCTAGCCATTGCCCAAATTGCGCCTTGGTTATTTGTGGGAATGCTAAGGAAGCCGATGATGAAGAGAAGTAGCGTCATCACCCACATGCCGGTGTTATAGATTGTTCGTCGGCCCAGTTTGAACTGAAACGGTTAGCATTACTCTTAGCTACCCAATGAATGCAGGATGCTCACGTAGTTTAGCAAGAACCATGAGGTAATGGTGCCAACAAAACCCAGCGCCGTGTTTCCAACGCCCACTATTGCGTGTCAGCAGCGATTCTAAGACTGTATGGCGTTTGCCAGCCACCTACTATCAAATGCGTCGGCAGCCTTAAGACCGGCCTGCTCGAAAAAGAAGTTGGCGTAGCCGATAAGCGGATTTCCGGCGATGACTTGGATCAAGTACACCATAATTGTAATCTCTGTCCGCACACGGTTGACGCCCTTGAATAGATCCAAGTAGTTCGTAGTCGCTTCGAACTCCTGTTCCAAGAGATCCGTCTGCTCAACGCCAAGCAGCACTTGGTCAATGTCGGGTTTATTCTTCGACGACGACAATGCTTCCAAGGCTTTACGAGCGTCCTCCTTACGCCCCCGACGAACAAGCCAATATGGACTCTCAGGAGCAAAAGGTAGTCCAATGAGAATGATTACTGGCCAAAGCCATTGCAATGCCTAATCTTGTTAGTAAGGGACCAAATAACGAACAGTGTCCAGCTATAAAGGGCGTGGTACATACAAACGGTGCTTTATACGCCCATTGATCTTCTCTGCCTTCCAAGCCGGCAGCGACTCCTTGAGCAATAAACTGTCCAATGACGAAAGCCAAGTTGATAAATGCTGTAAGCAGACCTCGCAGTGCAAGCGGACAAATTTCCGATGCATACGTTGGTGCAATGACCACGTAGAAGCCGTATGCCAAGCCACCAAGAATCTCACCGGCACAGAGCATAGGAAGAGACGAGGCAAAGAATTGAACAAAGACAAATCCGACAGACCATACGCAGCAGACAGCCAAAGTCCATTTCCGGCCAAATCGCTCCATAGGATATCCACTTGCAAGAGCTCCCAAGACCTGTCCAATTGGGTTGCCCATTCCGAGAGCCGTCTGCCATGGTGCTGGGATCTCGAAGCCGTCGCCGATGGGAATTCCATACCTCTTCTGGAATGCTGGGAGAGCGTAAAAGGAGAAGATGATTTGACCGTCATAGCCCGACATAATAACGGCAATACTGAAGAACATGGCCCAGAATGTGGCGGTGGGATATTGTCGCAAAGCTTGTCGAAAGCCAAGCTCATGCTCGGCGCGGGTGATATCACGGGTCACGTCGATCTGGACAACATCTCCCTTCTCGTCTCGGCTGACTTCCTGCCCGACACCAGTTACCTCCTCGTGTTTCTCCATTTTGGATTCGACGTCCTGGCGACCGATTAGTCAACCAGTGATAAGTGAGTGACGATTGTTGATCTTTGGTCCCCTATATGAAAAAAAGGAAGGAAAACTTGGCATGGCGGCAAAGACAATATATGTCAACTTAAAGTACGTGGAAGCAGCTCTGTGTGGGGGACATTTTTGAGGATCAACCCCGACCTGGTTGTGTCGATCTACTCCAAGTCGCCGGTCTACGAGGCCATAATTTTTCCACACAAGGGATAATCCGTGTTGATATCGAGAATGTAACGTCACCTGAGGCGAGTGTCGTACTGGTATCAATATTTCCGTCGCTTATCCAAGTCCAGCCGATTGTACATACGTGGGGTAGATAGCGCTCGCTCGGTAGCAGGCCCTTGATAGAGAAACGAGACAGGCCGGGATAAGTAGACCGCTATAACACCACTAGGATGGAAAAGCTTCATTCTAAACCCCCTGTTAGCGTTGATAAGCTACAGCCAATTGTGCCGATTTACCGAGAGATGGAAGAATATTGTAGCTATCACTGGCCGTAAGGCGGGGGAGAATGCGGAGAAGTGGAGAGGCAGGGCTGGGTTCTACGCCTCGCCTCGGATAACGCCGCGGTACAAGGTCAGCCGATCTTAGGTCTCGCTTGGCGCAGGTACTGTTTGTGAAGGGAGCACTGCTCGTGTCCACCAATATGTGCCATACCTACTACTGCGAGGTACTTGTTCTCTCTCTCGCACATAGCAAAGCGAAATTAACTACTCAGGTAAGCTTACTTGTCTGCAAATTGGCTTTGGGTCTAATCAGGAGCCATACGCCGAGCGACCAGCAAAGGGACTAGCAGCGGGCTTGCTCAATAATTCCCCCCACTGTTCAACTTTGATACACGCGGTTCACTACGTGGTCAAAGATAAAAACCAGCATTTTTAAGCTGTCTAATAGCGACCATTAGTCGAGAGATTATGCTTTGCTGTAGGTACCGGGATGTAACATAACTTTTGATAGAGCGAGATAATATTTCTCTGTCGCCCGGTAGCGTATCGATACAAGGCGCCATAACGTTGCACCTCGTATCATGTTGATAGGAAGCCCTGTACTAGCCAATGCCCCTATCGAAGCTTAAGTGAATACTAATCCAGTATTGATAAACTAAAATATGAATAAGAACAAGGCTAGCGGTTAAAGTGCTTACATGGGTGGACAGTTGTATTACAGGCGTTCCGAAAACTGTGTTGAAGGTAGCTTCGGTTCTATTTGGAACATTGATGGCATATTGACCTCTCTACAGGGCTTTTTGTATTGAGAATTCACGACAATCGCAAGATTTGGCTTCTTTACGGAATGAAGTAACGGAAAGAATTCGAGATATGCATGCGACTAAGTGAACTCAGCAATGTAGCTGGAGCAATCAGACAGAAAGGCAGATCGACTGTAAAATGCTTCAGCCGCTTGGATAACAAAAGGCGTCAAAAACAGTGTAAACGAATGATAGAAAAGATGACAGCTACTCGAGTACCGTGGCATAAATTAGAAGACATATGACGGCTGGCCAGGACAGACGAAAACAAGGGCTATCAAGTGTCGTCGTCAGGACCTGATTGCGGAAGGCGTCTCAGCTTGCATAGTATATCCGCTACCGGCCGATATAGTTGTAGAATGGCCAGAATTCCTATATGTCTTAACCGGCACCACAATAAGACCAATATGGCAATTTTGTGAGTATATAATTGCTGATACTCTGCAATACCTCTTCGATAGCCTCTCTCGGCCCATGCTCCGTTGTCGAAAGGCTAGTGGGGAAAGCCGATTTGCTGAAGCTCGGACGTGTAGCATACTTGACTCTTTAGCCGGATGTCGATTGTTGGAAAACGTGTCGTAATCATTCGGCTACTTCATCCTACAAAAGCGAGTGCATGATGGCCTTATGTGCCCTCCTAAGCATTCAACTTTGTTCAAACTAGTATCTGGTCAACTGTGGTACTCAACGTGCAACAAAGCGCTACTAGAAGTTTAGTCTGCGCCTTACCGCGGGAACATTAAATACATACATGGCATATGCATCTTGACCTCTGTATTTTTATTTGCTCATTTCAAGAATCAATATTGATCTGTTAGCTAATTACTTTACACAAGGCGCTGGAGTCTTCAAGCCAGAGTATGAGGTCGTAATTCGGTCTATGATTAAGCGATGTAGGAAACAAGTCGACTTGAAACCTTTAGCGGTATTGCATGGAAAAGAATTGTCGCATCTAACAGTCAGCGCATTAGTTACAGACCAACAACAACAACAACAACAGAAGAATGATATGCTCATATTATAGCCACTGGATCACTTCATTGAAAAGGAGAAGACTGAATGTGTCAGAGATGGAAATACTCGCTTACAGTTATTCCTTCAAGCCGTGCGCTAGCAATTGGAAAAGCCCCATTGAGCCCTCTTCCTGCCTGCTGCGGCAGTCTGATCGCAGCTATTTAGCTTAGTCAACTCAATATCCATCATTTTTATAGCCAATACAGCTGACGGCCAGAACAGCTTCACGAGCTTTGGAGATTCACGTCTGTCTACACCGCGCTGGTGTTTAAAGGCCATTAGGGCTTGCTGGAGATGCTTTATGTCAGCAACTGTAAATTTACTTGACGTCATAGTCTGGCAACTTCGCTGCTTATTGATCTTTGCTACCGTTATCGCGTATCTGGAACTTCCGTAAGCAGTGACGAAACAGCTAGTCCGCTAAGGGCAGGAAGCATTCAGGGGACTTATTTCCCTATCGCGGTGCACCTCCCGCTCCCGATCGTAATCAGCCTCCAAATACGATAAGATCTAGCTATGGACTACACTTTCTCTTTCAAGCGACGGCTAGATCATATATCATGTAGAGGTAATCCATATTCCAAGAGATGCATATGTACATGAAAATCATATTGACATCACTGTTACACGTAATATGCTAATCACGTAGCTCTTTGGAATACTTGATATGCCTAACAGAGCTTACTCTATTAGGCGTTAACTTAAAATGATGATATAGTTTCGACTTTAGGGTAACCCACGATCATCGAGAGAGGAGTCTGTTCAAGAGCTATCCAGCCATTTTTCTTCAACGCCATGTGCATTGCGATGCTAATCTAAGCTACGGTGAACTATATTACGCTTAAACCGCTACTCAGTGACGAATATCATGTGGAGCTTTTCAGTACTGACTGGTTTGGATAATGATATGGACAAGCGCTCGAGGTTATAGGCGCTACTGCATGTTCTACAAACAGCGATACTTACGTTCAGCCGTAAAAACATCGATGAGACGTGATTCTCCCCCACCAGGTTTGAAATGCTAAAAGGCTAAAATCCTACAAGATTATATGTTCTTTTATACTAGCTGTCTTATATTGATGGTTGAAATCGCTATTGGGCCCAAAATATTGCAGTACTTTCAGCCCGTAACTTATTTGCTAATCCAAAGCATCCTACACTAAACCAGATCTGTCTCGAATATACATGACCTGCATATCAGTGGGTTTGAGGAACTTCAAGTGTCGACGCACAGTTCTCTTGAGTCTGCCTGTTCTAAACTCCAAGGTTCTTCTAACTCATCTTCAACTCCCTCCGAGAAGGCAACTCGTATGAAGGTTACATCATGACATACTATCACACAGCTAGGGAAACGTAATTAGGCAAATGCTGAATGCTTTTCAAGCTAGGTATTTGCCCGGATCAAGTGTGTAAAGTATTATTAGCGTGCAGCAGCTCCGCCCGAGCTCGTGGTACGGACACAAGCTTTGACACTAATTCGTGTGGTAGTACAGTTTCATGTCATTGATCCTCGAGCATGTCAGATATAGCATTGCATGTACTAACCATACTTTGACCGGCGGCGATCGTCATTGCCTGAACCGAATGATACTTAGGCATGGGGCGACTTATATACTTTCTCTTGGCGTGATAGCAGGCTCAAGGTCTCGTGATGGAATGCCAAGAGCTACGGTCACTACTTGGCGATTGTTACGCTCCGCAACATCCTGCTCTCAATTTTGTACTTTGTAAGGAGACTGTTATTGCACGTTGATTGTATGTCAATGGCCGCTTGATATCATAATCGGATTAACAGAGCTCTCTAGTCTTTATATAGAAAGTATGTTTGCGAGATAGCCGAGCGTATTACATCTGCCAAATGGACGTCAGTAGTATTAGCTTATTCCGATTGCAATTTTGAGGAGCCTCTTCCCAGGCTGAAATTAGGTAACTAGACCAGCTATCTCAAGTTATTGCTGCCAAAGCTTCACGGAAGCCACCTGTAGCTTGCGGGGGTCTCGTTCGGAAGCACTAGGAAGATGGTATTCTGACAATGAGATGGCAATTACGATAGGATTGGGGCTAAAGACTAAGCTTAAATCGCTCCTATTTCCGATTTCATACTTATATGCCGTACTCCGAGCTTAGAAACCGGCAGCTATGCCAGCTAAGCCTCCGGGCGTACCGCTTTACGAGTACAGTATTCAGAAACAAATCTAGACGATTGAAATCACTGCCATCGCCCTGGCATGCGGGCTCCATTTCCACTTCGGGCCTAGAAACTCGATGCCAGTAAGAGCTGTAGCAAAGCTAGAGAATAAAAAGAATATTCCCAAAATGGAAACTATGCTGACAAATTTGCAAAATCAAGTATAGCCTGTTTACTATTGTATGTTTGGGGCTAGTCTACATTGCTGACACTTCGCAGTTTGCACTGTCTGCTCCTACGTTCATCGGACGTTATTGCCAAGGGAAGATGATATCATTGGACATGGCAGGGCGATTAGCTCCATGGCGTCTAGATTTGAGATTTTGGGAGTCTTTTCTATTGGCTTACGAGACATGTCCAGCTTGAATCAGGAGAAAGGCACAGTAACATATTACCTGGTTAGGTTAGTGGGGGCGCTTGGTAATGTCTAAGCATTCAGTGAAAGTCGTAGCGACGAAGCGCAAAGAATGGCCCTGATGATAATGTTTTGGGTAATCACCTTAGTAA